CAGGACTGGGGAGGGGAAAGGTGGGCAGGAGGGCAGGCGAGGACACTGGTTCTCCCAGGTAGCCCATGGGGCAGAGGCCTGGGACCAGCCGGGCAGGATTCCAGACGTTTAAATAGACAAGGGAAAGGAAGCTGAGGCCCAGATTATAGCAGGAGAGACGCTCCTTCTCTGGGAGATGTTCATGATCCGAAACACAGCGGACTCCTGTATTTACATGGTTGACTTTCTTTGGGGGTTTGTCTTATAGATCAAGGACTTTAAACAGCTCGCACACGGGCATCTTTTTAGAAAGGCTGACTGTCACAATCTGCTTGTCAAAAAGCTATCACAGGCTCACAACATACTGCGACAGAAGGTGAGGGGCTCTAAAATAGGTGCTTGAAGCCAGGGCAGAAGCCCGGGTGAGAGCAAGGGGCCTGATATGCGTGAAAGCCGTAAGACAGCGCGGCCCCGAGTCTCTTGGCTGTTCCCCCGTGATGTTTCCACGAAATAAAGAAATGGCAGTGGATGTGCAGAGCCCTCTCACCGGAGCGCTTCCCTAGGTTCCAGTGGTGTTACGCATCTTCTCAATTTGTGTACTTTTTCTAAAGTACATGTCTGTTCACATCCTTTGCCTTTTTGAATTTGCTTATCTTTCTGATGCTGAATTATAAGAGGATTTAAAAAATATACATTCTGGACTTAGTATCCAAGAATATGTAGCAGGTTTACCAGATACGTGGCCTGCAAACATTGTCTCATTCTGTGGCTTGCATTCTCACAGTAGAGGCATCGATACACAGATGTTTTCATTTTCAGTGGGTCCTACTTGTCTAGTTTCACTTTTATCACTTGTGCTTCTGGTGTTTTATCTAAGAAGCTGTTGCTGCTAGGTCACAAAAATGTATTTGTATTTTTTCTTCCAGTTTGGAAGCAGATACTTTATTAACTGACCAAATCCTAAAAACACCATGGTAGATACCTTAGTTCATCCTTCTAATAAGCTTATTGATCTGGTCTTCCCTGTTTCCAGCATCTCCACCTTCCACAAAATGGGTGGTCTTTTTTTTTCATTCCACCGCGTGGAGATGATAACTTGAACTGCCACAGGAAGTTATTTGCTGCTTTGAAGCATTTTCCAACAGTGTAGATCTCACGAACCAGATCCTCCATGCAGATGATTCCATATTTACCAAGAGATCGAGCAGTCAATGAGTTATCCGTCAAGGCAATTCGCTTCTTCCTGATCTTGCTGTAGCCACGCTCGTATATTAGTTCGTTCACAGACTTCAGGTTTGGGTGCCCCATGCAGTACATGGCTGCACAATTCTCAGCATGCTAATTGAAGCCCAGTTGAGCTTAACGAAGGTACCATTGAAGGTTTGGCGAAGGCAGAGAAGCTGCAGCACCTTGTGGATCTTTGGGCTTGCACCTTTGATACCCCTGACCTGGATGACAAAGGCCAGTTTGGGCTCTGCAGGGACACAGAGGTCGCCAGCTTCTCTCGCCATCCTCGCCATTCAGATCTCAGTTCTTTACTCCTTATGACAGTGCCTGGCTTTTCCATAGATGAGTTGCCTTCTCGCCTTGCGAAGCGTCTTCTGGGCAAACTTTTTTCTCTGGTACTTTATTGTCTTCAACTCTGTGAAATGTCTTTGCTTTTTCTTCAGGGTTTCTGGCACAGCAGGAACCTTCTTTTTCTGCTTATTTTCTTCTCTTCTACACCCTCCATGGTTCCAGCTGGAAAAGAGCCGGGTGTTTTATTCTAGGTTTCAGCTCGTCACTTTGAGTTTTAGATCCAGTTTCCGTTTGTATGTAAGGTGTGAGGTAGGACTTGAGCTTCATTGTTTGCATGTGGATACTTAGTTGTTTCAGCAGCATTTATTGAAAAAAGCATTTTTTTCCCATTAAATTGTCTTGGTACTCTCATCAAAAGCCAATTAACCAGATGTAAAAATTAGTTCTTCACTCTTTATTTGAGAAAAATGTATACTTTTTCTTTTTGGCCTTTTCATTATAGTTCAGTTTATTAGAACACGAGTGCGTCCCACAGCGTTCACAGTCCTGCGGGAAGCTGGTGCGTGTTCCTAACACATCTTAGCTCCTCCTTCGCCCCCATCCACTCCTCCTTACATCCTCCTTCACCCCCATCCATTCCGGATCCCCTTCCAGCCTTTGCTCGCGTCTGCGGCACACAGCGCTCATGTTCCTTGTGTGGAGTTGGTGCACGGGCAGAATGTTATGTAAAATAAATCAGAAACACAAGTTTCCGTATCCCATGGTCTCCTGTACACGAAACCCAGAATAAAAGTAGACAGCAAATAAAAGATCATAGAAAAGAGGGAGACAGACAGTTCTCAACTCTTAAATCTAAGCCGTCGCTGTTTTCTCCTGATGTGCTGGGATTGCTCCGCCTTGCTCTCTCGGACAGAGAAGTGGGAAGTGTTGCGGTGGGGAGGCAGCAGTCACACCTCGCTCTTTCTAAGGTTTTGTTCTGTGGCCTCTGCAACTTTTGGGCCTGATTTGAAGACAAGTTACTCAATTTCTACAATCCTGATAGGGGTTTCTGCGCATCTGCAGAACGGGGTGGCAATGTTGCCATCTTCATCACCTGGCCCGTGAATGGCAGCCGCCTTTGAACTCGCCTAGAGCCTCAACTTGCTTTATCTTTTGCGGTTTCCAGTGGACGTGTTGTGCACTTCTTTCATTCAATTTATTCCCAAGGGGTTCTTCTTAATATTATTGTAAATGAAATTGTTTTCTTAATTTCATTCTCAGAGCATTTATTGCTGGTTTATAGAAAGAGAATTGGTTTTTATATAATCGTCTTGTTGCCTGCAACTTGGAGGCCACTGTCGTGACCGTCCGCGTGCGCGCTGCCCATGACGCGCACTGGCTCAGCCAGGCTCTCCTTGACCGCCTGTTTCCCCGTCTGTCCAGTAAACCGCTGCTCTTCTGCCTCTGCCAATACCACTGCCCACCAGCCTTTGCTAAGCACTAGCTGATGCCGGGCTCTGGCTGGTAGGTGAGGACACTACTGCTGAGCTGTGTCCCTCGTCCCTGCTGCTGTCCTGTGTGTGACAACACCCTAGGATATAACTGCTGGACAGTGTGATCCAGTTAAGTTCTGGAGCCGCCACTGCGCAGTTCGCCAGTCCTTGCAGGTTGCTCCTTCCCCAGAGGGCTCGTGGCTATCCTCATCCCTGGTCCTGTTAAACTCCTCACTGGCTTGTTTCCAGCGTATTGTTACTGGCACTGTGGACCTCTCAGCCGCCGCCTCCTCCGCCTCCTCCTGAGCATGCTGTGCCAAGCTCTCTGCTGATCTGACAGTGGTCTTGGGCGTGAGTCTCCCGAGGCGGTGTCTCTGCTAAAGCCTGAGCATCTGGGCGGTCGCTGTAGCACTGCGCAGAAGTAGGGCAGGAGCAGTGGCCTGTGCCTCCCAGAGATGCTTTGGCCTACCGGTTAGTCACTAGGTGGGGATGGTAGCCACCAGTCTTGCGTCAGCTGTCAGCATGGGCCCACTGCCACTCGAGCAAGCTAGGAAGGACGTGCAAGTTTCCTGGCCTGCTGCACCTGTACAGAGCTCGCGCCTACAGGGCGTGGTTGGGCGTGTGAAAGGAACCCTGTGGAGCCACAGCCTTGGGCCAGGCCAGGGTGTGCGGTGAGCCCCATCTTCTTGACAGGAAAACTGTTACCCGAATTAGGTAGGGAGTCAAAGAGACGTGTTATTCAACATAGATTTTTGTTGTTCTTACCAAGATTTAGGAAGTTACCATGAAGTTTTCTATTTGTTGTATTGGCCTTAGAATAATTTCCAGTGTCTTTAAACGATGTCGAGGGCCGGGGAGATAGCTTAGCGGCACAAGCGCTTGCTTGGCAGGTGCAAGGTCCTGAGTTTGATTCCCGGTACCAAAAATAAATGATGTTGACCACTTAAGTGATTGTTTTATTTAGCAACCTCTTCCCACCACAAGTTTCCATTGGCCATATTTTTGTAAACAAGTACAGCATGTCCACTTACGGCCCTGCTGTCCACCGCTGATTCTTTGCAGGTAAGTAGCCTCAACAGCAACCAGAGCGCCTGCAGAGGCTGGAGTAACTACCTGCGGCCCTGGGCAGGGAACATTTACTGAAGCATTACTACATTCACTTGCTGCTCTTTGTATGGAGAGCAGCATTAGAAAATTATAAGAAGACAGGTCAAGAGTCTGCAGTCCAAACTACAGGAAAAGCCATCGTTGGTCAGCTTAGAAAATCATTGTCCTCTATTCGGACTGTTTGTGGTAACTGAGGGAGGTTGTATTTGCTTTTTCATACTAGGGACTGAGCCGAGGAAACTCTGCACTCTACCTCGAGAGCTTACAAACAGGGTCTTACTAAATCACCCAGGCAGGTCTTCAGCTTGTGGTCCTCCTGCCTCAGCCTCCTGAGCTGGGGTGACAGGCATACACCACTGTGCCAGGTTGTAACTGTGCTTTTAAATTTAAATATTTAGGAGCTATCTTTTTTCATTTTAAATCAGCAGCTCTTTTTATGTCTAACTTTAGTAATTTCAACTTTGCAATCTTCTTATGCTAAACTGTCTAAGCTTTCCTCCCCTAGGAGAACAGTGTGGTTAGATTTGGGTTGTATAAATGTCTTCTACCTGCCAGTTTCTGCTTGTCATGTTCGTGATAAGTTTTGCCTTTTTGGCTCAAGCAGCTCTTCCGAGGGTCAGACTTGCATGCCGGAGGTGCCGGCTGCATCTGTGTGGACTCGGTGTGGCTGAGGGGCGGAGGAGGCCAGGGCCGGGCGGGCAGAGGCCAAACAGCGGCTCCCTGCCTGCCGTGCTCCCTGCCTGCCGTGCTCCCTGCCTGCCGTGCTCCCTGCCCAGGACTGCAGCCGTCTCCTTCGGGTGCCCAGAGGTTGCAGAGCACGTCGGCTCAGAGCCTCTGGGCCTGCCAGGGGATGCACGCTGGGCGAGGAGATGCGAGCCGCTGACCTGGGTGCTGGGCTTCACCAGCTGCCTTCCTGTCTCCTAGCACTGCTTCAAAGGACACTGCATCTGGCTGACACCCGACATCCTCAAACGGGACGGCAACTGGGGCGCCTGGACCCCCTTTGGCTCCTGCTCACGCACCTGTGGCACAGGTGTGAAGTTCAGGACCCGCCAGTGTGACAACCCACAGTGAGTGGCCCAGCCCTCCCGCCCTGAGTAGCAGCTGAGGTTCCCACTGGCCCTCGACCGCTGGCTTGCAGCAGGCTGTGATGGCCGCTCCCTGGCGAGCTGGAGCCACTGGTCACGACCAAAAGTGCGAGGTCAAGTGACCCTCCCTCCCAGCCCCAGCGTGGGAGGCAGTTGCGGCTCAGTAAGACGTCTTCTCTGTCACAGCCGGGAGACCTTGTCCCCTGGTCCGTGGGCCTGAGCCTCCTCCTGCCCACCCCAACCTGCAGTCCACTTTGGACACTGTCTTTCCCCGCCTTGGGCAAGGAGAGTAGAGGGGAGGTGGGACGCGCACGAGGGAGGGGGTCTCTCAGTCCCCCAGATGGCTGGGAACCTGGGCAGGCGCTGCTGTAGCCGACTGGCGATTTACAGCCACCCCAGCCGCATTTCCTCCTCCCTCATCTGCGCGGCCACCCCACGGTACTCCGGTTTCCTCGCCCACAGACGCTTTTCTTTTCGGCCACCCCAGCTGCTGGCTGCTGCGCCGCCTCCCCCTGCGCTCAGGAGCCTGGCGCCACGCAGCGTCCGGGTGGAGGAACCAGGGCCGATGGGTGCGGGGCAGTGGGCAGCTGGCTCCCAGGGAGGCGGTGGGCCTTGCACGGTGCCCACAGAAGGCCCCCGGGCACCATCTGGCACACACATGGTGGGGCCTTCAGCTTCTTTTGTCCTGTCCAATAGATTTGGATTAACAGAAGTAAAATATTTTGGTTTCTCTGAAAACACTGAAAGTCTGGAATTCCACATAAAAACCTGAGCAGATTTCTAGCTTCTAAATTGGCCGGTTGGGAGGGATCCGGACTCCCCTGCTCGTTTTCCTAGCCTGCTGTGCTTTCTCCGGCATTGACATCGAGGAACCAGACCAGGTGGCGGCTGCTGGGGGAGGCGCCCTGTCTCCATCGGCAGGGCAGGCTCCTGTAGCCAGGCTGCCTGTGTCCGTCGGCTCCAGCTAGAGCCCTCCCGCCCTCCCGCCCAGGGCCACAGGCTGCCGTCCGTCCGTCCTGGGCAGGATCAGACTGGCGCAGGGCCCTCAGGTTCTCTCTGTGTGCCTCTGGGTGTGGCTACACTTGCGGGGAGAGCACTGGCTTGGTCGCTTTCCTTGGCTGAGCTGAACCCCTATTCCTGAGGCTCGAGGACCCCCTAAAATTCCCCCCGAAAGGCAGCTCTTCTGGCGCCACCAGGCAGCAGAATCCCTGCTCTCTCCTCCAGTCCCGCCAACGGGGGCCGCAGCTGCGCGGGCCTGGCCTATGACTTCCAGCTCTGCAACCCCCAGGACTGCCCCGACACGCTGGCCGACTTCCGCGAGGAGCAGTGTCGCCAGTGGGACCTGTACTTCGAGCACGGCGATGGCCAGCACCACTGGCTACCCCACGAGCACCGTGATGGTGAGCACGTGGGAGGGCAGCGGTGTGCTCCGCAACCGGCCGGGGGGTGGCAGGGCCGGCAGGGTCCTGTACCCCGATGCCTGTGAGGCAAGGCGGTGACACTGGGCCGAGACCAGGGCCGCCCCAGCAGGTGTGGCCACTGCAGCCCCTCTGGGGCTAGGACTTGGGGCTGGTACCAGGTTACCATCCCAAAGGTGGCAGAACACAGGGCTCCAGGAAGGCTGCTGGGGGGAGGCCGGAAGGGACCGTCCTCTTGCCATCGCCATCTGGTGGCAAGCTGGGGTTGTGTGGCTAGCCAGGCCTTGGGTCAGTGGTGAACCTTCGCTACCAGTTGGGACCCTCAGCTATGAGTGTCATGGATGCCTGTGATCCCAGCTCTCTGGAGACTGAGGCCAGACGACCACAGTGCAGGTTCTTCCTAGGTGGGGCAGTGCAACTCTGTGTCAAAAAAAAAAAATGTGAAAGGGCTGGGACTGTACAGCTCAGTGTAAAGGGCCCGCTACTGAGAAGGAAGAGAGACAGAGACAGGGAGGCATTTTGGCTGACGAACCTGACAAGTCAGGCAGCATCAGGCCTGGAGGGCCTTGGGGGGCTTGTATGGTTCCCCCTTGGCTCCAGAACTCCCAGCCTGAAGGAAACCCAAACCCACAGATGCTCAGGCCCCTGTGCCAAGAGTGGAGCCTCTGTGTACAACCTGCACACAGCCCAGTACTGTGCATCATCTCGGGACTGTTACAGTACTTACCACTGTCAGTACTATGTGAGTTTTTGTTGTGTGTTTTGCTTAGGATATGATGACCCAGAAAAAGCCTGTATGTGTTCAATATAGAACAATTTTTTTCTAAATATTTTTGATCCACAAAGTCCAAACTATAGATGTGAACTCCTTGGATAGAGAGGTAGGCTGTGTTCCATTTGGGTCCCTTTCTGTGGGGACCTGAGACAGGATGAGGGCAGCCTGGTCCTTGTGGTCATCCAAGAAGGTTAATGGAAAAGGACTCTTTAAAAGGAGATTCAGGGAAGAGGCAAGGTGGGGGCTTGAGACAGCCACAAGGACATGTGATCCAGAGCACCCAATTCTGGCTGGCTCTGTCCAGAAAAGTCTCAGGTAGAGAAAGGGAGGTGGCTGTGTTCTACTTGTTCCCTCTCTGTGCCCAGAGGGTAGGCTGCATGGAGCAGGGGGACCTAGGAAGGCCCTGGGATCTCTCCCTCCTTGGGTCTTATCTTGCACGGAGGCATTTCGCCACTTCCCTTCCAGCCAAGGAGAGATGTCACCTCCACTGCGAGTCCAAGGAGACCGGGGAGGTGGTGTCCATGAAGCGCATGGTGCATGATGGGACACGCTGCTCCTACAAGGACGCCTTCAGCCTCTGCGTGCGTGGGGACTGCAAGGTGGGTGCCAGGGTCTCTTCCCCCAGCATGCTTGGACAGGATGTCTGCCACGGTGCCTTGGGAAGGGGGGGGGACTTGCCACAGCTGTCACTCCACTCTCCCCCCATACCAGGGGTCCCAGACTTGAGTGTATCAACAAACTCAATACCTGGAGCTTGGGGCCATCACCTCCGAAATTCTGGTTCCAAGGTCAGCTTGGATCCTTGCTGTGCCCCAGCTGATTCTGACACATGAGAGGCACAGGTGAAGGGCACGGTGGGGTCACCTCCAGATGACCCCACTGTCAGCTGCCAAGGTTGTGAGCCAAAAAGACACTGAACCCAGAAAACCTACTGCACACCCCAGCTTAGCAACACAGTGCTCTGTGGGGTGGCGTTGCCCCGCCCAGACTCAAGGGGGTGACCAGAGGTGGCCAGTACTGCGACGGCTGCTACTTCCCAAGACGGTCAGAGTCTCGTTCAGCCCAGCAGAAGATCACATTCCAAACTGGAGGCAGAGCTGCGATGACTACATGCTGCTCTCGTGGAGCCTGAAAGTGAAGCCAGCCATCTACACATCCGTGGCTTCTTCAGGCTGTCACAGAGGACAACCACGGGTGTCGGCCCACAGTAGGAACCCTCGCCCCAGAAGCAGGGCGCACCTCTGCTGGAGGCTGCGTGGACAGGACCGGTCGTAGGCACTGGGCCTACGCGGCACCCTGGGGTGTGGCTGCAGAGAGCCCTGGAGCAGGGTCAGGCAGCAGGGCCCTGCAGGTCTGCTCACACACGTGTGCCTCAGGAGGACTCAGGAAGTGTGGCCGCGCAGTTGGCTGTGGGACAGGAAGCCAAGTACTCGGAGTCAGACGGTGAGCCACGAGACCTTAAGCTATGGAGGAGCTGCGTGACAACACAGGGAAGCCAGTGCCCCTGAGAGAAGAATTTATGACTTACAGTCCCTGAAGAGGACACAGTGTGCCACGCGGGGCCACCTGCATAGGCAGCAGGTGGAGTCAGGAGCAGAAGCAGGGGTGCAGGGAAGCAGAGACCACGGCCTTTGAGAGGTTTCCTCGGAAAGACCACGCCGACCACCGAGGCTGGGAGGGCCTTTCGGAGCTGTGTTGATGTTGAGGATTAAAGCAGAATAAGATAATATTAATGGGATAGATAAAGGCAAGCCGCATAGATAGAAAAGGGGAGGAGACAGACAGGAGGCAAGTGGGAAATAAAACGCATCCGTCCTCCCAACGTATGTAAATGTGAAACTCCTTTTAGAAAATTAATACTGGTAAAAGTAATAATAATGCTTAAGTGGATTCCGTCAATCAGAGAAGATCAAAATATAGTGACTCATGACTTACAAGTGAAGTGACGGCCGAGAGGTAGGAGAGCAGATGCTCACGCACGCTTACACACACACACACACACACACACACACATATACACACACTCTCACACACACAGATGGGAAACCAAAAGAGAATCCAGCATTAAATAAGGCCATGTGGGTCATTTTGATTTTTAAAGGGGCATAATTCAATATCTTGATAAAAGTAATAACCTGCCATCAAATATGTTATTTAAAAACTGCTACAAAAAAGTGGAGAGCTGGAGTCGGCTGGTTTCTCCCAGCCCTCTGGTACCAGGCGCCAGTCCAGGGCCTCGGTGACAGACCGCAGCGCCTGACCCGGCCGGCCCATCTTCTGTTTGCTTTTCTTCTGTTGCTGTAACAAAACAGCTAAGGCTGAGTCGTGCACAGAGAGAAAGGACCGCCTAGCTCTCAGCTTGGAGACTGAAAGCCCAGGACTGCGCAGTCCTGTTGGTTCAGGCTCTGATGAGCGTCCCCATCTGGGTCCCAGTGTGGCAGAGGAGCAGAAAGGGAAGCCAGCAAGGGCAGAGGCCTCAGGCTCCTCCGTGAGACCAGCACTCTCTGCTTCCAAAGACGGTTCCCTGCGACGACGTCCATGGCGGCTGCATCTCGCGAAGCCTCCGCCACGCACACCAAGGACCACGTTTCAGTGTTTGACCCCGTGGGACACACTCAGGCCACCCACACCCACCCCGTGGCCCAGGAGCTGCACAGAACTCGCTGGCAGCAAGCAGTGGGCTCAGGACTAAGGCTCAAGGTCTCGTGTGGCTCACTCCATCGCGTGGGGATCCAGGACGGGATGGGGTTGCTGGGCCCCAGGACCTGCATGCACCTGGGACCCCTCCCTCCACAGCTGCAGAGAGCGGCTACTCCCAGGAGCTCTGCGGACTGAGAAACCTGGAAACCGGAACACGACTGCCCTCCGTGAGTGAGAGCAGACTCTCAGAGTGCGCCTTCCCACCTGCCCGTGAGGGGCTTCTCGTCCTCCTCTCCCTCAGTTCTCCTTGTTGCCTCTACCTTTCACAGAGCTCCGACCCTGCCAGGGATTAAAGCTCCCCCAAGGCCGCCTCCTCTCCTCCCCTCAGCCTGCAGCAACGCGGCTTCTCTGATGCAACAGAGCACGAAGCGATTTGGAAACAAACTCCAGAGCTGGACACGTGCACCCCGTGGGCCAGCCAGGCTTTTGGGTTCTCGGCTCCATGCATCTCCCCTTGGTAAAATTTGTTTTCTCAAGAATCACTGCAGTAAACATGAGTATGTTCAGTGGGGTGTGGTGGCACACGCCTGTAATCCCAGCGCTCAGGAGGCTGAGGGGGAGGATTGCTGTGGGTCTGAGGCCAGCCTGGGCTACGTAGTGAGTCATGAGGCTATACTGCACAGCAAGACTTGTCTCAGAAAAACAAACAAACAACAACAAAAACCAAGTACGTTCATCTTGATCATTTCATTCCCTGGACACTCCCAAAAATAAGTCAGAAATTAAGTCAGGCTGAGCTTGGTGGCACACCCTGTAACACGAGGCACATGGGAAATGAAGAGGAAGGCTGCAGCTCCAGGCCAGCCTGGACAAATTGGCAAAGCTGTCTCGTAATGAACAATAGAAAGGGCTGAGTAGTTCAGTGGTAGAGCCCTTGGGTTCAACCTCCAATACTGCAAACAAAAACAGAACAAGGGAAGAAAAAAAAAGGATTCATGAAAATACAGTCCCATAAAATCACAGACCATGAGCTTCTGTCCACACGCCCGGCGTGAAGAGGCAGCCGCTGCTCTGCAGCCCCTTCATGGTCCTGAGCCCTGAAGTCCGCAATGCAACAGCCAGCAGTGAAGGAGCAATGGGTGAGGCTGGGCGTGCAGTGTGGCGTAGAGCATCCTCCCAGAATGCGCCAGGCCCAGATTCCGTCCCCAGAAGGAGTCCCTCCGAGGTGCTGATGGGAGTTTTTCAGGAGACCTGGCCGTGGGCCTCCTAGCGGCCGGAGCAAGGAGGGCAGCGACCGCCATCTCTGGAATGGCTCAGCGGGCTCTTCTCCGTGGAGCGCCAGGGGGAGTGACTCTGGCAGCCTGCCCTCGCCCTGCTCTAGCCCGGGGACAGAACTTCGTGGGCTCTTGTCTCTGCCAGCTGGCTCCAGCAAAGCGCCGTCTCCACGCTGTACAATCATTTGAGCTCTTCGCGTGGCAGTGTGCTGAATGACGGCTTGAAAGAATGAGGCCACTCCGAGCCCTGACACCTAAAGACAGACTAAACAGATGCTGCCTTCTGCAAGCGAGCGGGGGTGCGGTCCCCAACGGTACCTCAGCAGGAGCCACTGTGCGTGGAGGGAGAGGCCAGCTCTGCGACTCACAGGCTGAAGGACAGAGGGCTCTCGGGAGGCCAGGCCAGAGCCACGCGTCCCCACGCTCATGGTTCCGCCAACACCTGGGATTGGAGCCGTGACCCGAAGGAGGCTGTTAGGAGAGTTTGCATGGGAATAAGGGGAGCAGTTGGTGGATTTCCAAGAGGAACCCCGGGGTGGCCACAGGGCTGCCGCACTGAGAGCCGCTTACAGAGGAGCAGCGCCGTTGTTTAGTGGCCTCCTGTCCTGGGCGGCTCTGTGGATTGAAATGACCAGTTGGATCTCTGACTTTCTAACGCAGTTCAGCACATAGGGTTTAAAGGAAACTGGGATTTTAGAGAAAAAGCTGGAGAATTTGCACTTCAAGCTCCTCAAAGCTTTGGAGTTTAGCTGGGGTGGGCTGCATGCCCTGCTGCCTGGGCAAGTTCACACGTGGTCCTCACCCATTCTCTGTCCTACCATAAGCCCTCTCCACGGCGGGTCGCCCCCTCTATCTCAGGCCCTGCTTTGGCGAGCTGCCTCACCCACAAGCTAGCTAAGCAACCCGCTTCCTACATCAGGGCAGTCTCGGGCGTGTGACCCTGCTTGCTGGGCAAGGTGGTCAGTAGGCCACGCTTTCCTGGGACACAAACTGAGGCACAGTGAGAGCCACTGAGGTTGCACTCCCCTCCCCCTCATGAGAACTGGGGGGACGAATGCACAGCCCATTGGCCACAGGAGGGGTGGATGCCATCCTGGCTGGGAGCGTCCTGGGTCATGAGAGGCGGGTGCACATGGAGAACAGTATCTCAGCGCTCCCTGTCACTCACCCCTGCAGAAGGTGGGCTGTGACGGGGTGATCGGCTCCAGCAAGCAGGAGGACAAGTGTGGCGTGTGCGGCGGGGACAACACCCACTGCAAAGTGGTCAAAGGCACGTTCACGCGCTCCCCCAAGAAGCTCGGTGAGTGAGCCCACTGCGGCCCCCCACACGTGGGCGTGGCCCGCATCGCCCTTGGGCCCTGGCTGGGCTCTGGGGGTAGGCAGTGGGGGCTGGGGGTCGGTGGAGGGAGGATCCCAGGCTAGCCCTGCCCTCCCGTGGTGGGCACGGAGGAGGGTGGCCACAGGGAAGGAAGGCACGTGCTGGCTGGGCCTCAGAGGTCAGGGCTCCGCAGGACGCCTCACCTGAACTGACAGGAAACCAGCCTGTTCCTGCTCCATCCCCCTCTCCTGCTGCCAGCTCGGTCTCAGCAGGGCAGCAAGTCAGAGCTGGAGCCTGGGCCCTCTTGGCTGTTACCCTGTTGTTTGTTAGGATAATGGAAATCCTGAGGCTGGGAAACTTAATAAAAAAGGGACTTATTTAGCTCACAATTTTAGAAGCTATAAGTTCATGCAAAACAAGGCCAGCTCCAGCAAGGGCCGCTCTGACTTCATCTCTCGTAGTGGATGGCACCTCTGTGGTAGGGGTGTGGGCAAGAGCAAGAGACAGCAGGGTGAGAGGAGGCGGGTGAGCTCCTGTTAGTGCCGCCTCTCGGTCACCCCTTAACAGCACTGCTCGGGGCCACACTCAGGCACCTCCGCACTGACCAGCCTCAGGCTGAGCTGGCCTCCACTTGGCCTGCGGTGTTGGACACGCCTCAGCTGGGTGTCTGTGCCCCAGGCAGAAGCCACTTGCTTGCTTCTCTTGGAAGAAGGCCACAGGGCAAGCATGCAGGTCTCTGTGGGAATTGTACACCGGGGAGGCCCCAGGCAGGTGCCCAGCATCAGGCCACCAGAGCCTGCCTGAGTGTGGGGTTGAGGAAGTTGATGAGGCTGAGGTGCAGACAGACCGCACCGGGCCTCCCTCCCCACAAGGTGTCAGGATGGACTCGGGGCTGGATTCCCTCCAGTGTCTGGGGGAGGAGGCCAGCCAGGAGGGTGCCTGAGAGATGAAGAAGAGCAGAAAGGCGGGAGTGCAGTGTCCAGGCCCTGGGCAGTGGCTGCACCCTGACCCAGTAGCTTTCCAGTTGCCCTGCTGTGGTGGGCGGCCACGGCCCTGGAGTTGGCAGCCTCTGGAGACTCCTAGTGAGGCAAGGCCCTTCCCCAGAGATCCGCTCCCCAGCCCTCCTCCCTCCCCTCCACTTCCCTTCTCTTCTTACTTGGCTTTGTCTTCCTGCACCTGAACAAAGGTTACATCAAGATGTTTGAGATCCCCGTGGGGGCGCGACACCTGCTCATCCAGGAGGCTGACACTGCCAGCCACCATCTGGGTGAGTCTGGAGGCCCGGACAACCCGGCCTCTCTAGGCCCTGGTGCTTGTAGAATGGGCCACACAGTTCTGGGTACTGAGTCCAGCAGGGCCGAGGTGTGGCCGCCTCATACCCACCAGTCTTTCAGCCCAGCGCCACACCCCAGGGCCTTCCCTGGGCTCGTCGTCCTGTGCAGAGGCCGGGCTTTGGGATCAGGCTGCTGGTGGTGGTGGTGAAGGTCTTGCATCCCGGTGGGCTGCGCCTGCCGCATGGCCTTTTACATGGCAGCAGCGTCCTGGGCAATGTCCATCACTCACAAGAAACCGAGACCACCAAGGCCACACTGAGGATGTACTCGCCTATTTTCAGTTATTTTAATCCGTGTTGACAGTCCCAGGGCCTATGCATGCTGAGTGTGCGCTCTACCCCTGGTCCAGCACCATCACTCCCTTATTTTAAATTTAAGAGATTCTACCCACAATAGGGATTTCTGACCTCCCCGAAAGATGTGACAGTTCTCACAGCCCTGGGTGTGTCTTCTGAGTGGCAGTCCCAACCTGGGAGGCTGTTTCAGTCACAGAACTGACAATTACACCTGCTCCAGGGAAGAGAGCCGTACTTTGGCTCACGGATAGAATTGGATCCACCCTGCAGGGCTCCAAGGCAGTCGGTCGAGGGCGGCTGTGGAGGAGAGCAGCTCACCATGGGGCACCCGGGAAGCAGGGAAGAGAAGGGCCGCTCAAGGAAGATGCACCTTCCAGCTCACCCCAGTGACCCCGTAGCCAGGCCCACCCCCTGAGTCCTGCCACTACCCACAAGCCCTGCGTTCTGGAGTGTGGAACTGGGGGTCCTCTACCTCCAGACCACAGTGGGGATTCCCCATCTGCACCCTGTAGAGCATGCTGGGGCAGTCAATGAATGGGTCCCTTCCCCGGTCTGAGTCACACCACCTTTGTCCCCATTCTCTGGTGGGAGCAGGCTGGGCCAGGGGTTTCCGACCTGTTGCAGGCAGCCACCCCACCCATGCATAATAAGCTATCCCCTTCTTTCAAAGCATCTTTCCTCCTTACCATCCCAAGGAAAGGCTACGTCACTACCCTTGCCTTAAATGGAAGGTAAACACCAAGGCGAATTCCTAGACAGCAAGATCCTGGGTCCCAACACTAGGGCTGGGACCACACTCTTAGAAACACAAGAGCTTATGCTAGAGAGAAGTTAAAGATCTAAGACCTTCTTCCCAGTGCGGACAGAAGTCCAGGGCACTTCTAGGGGAATGACATGCTCACTGGTGGCCTGTCTGGGGCCCCCAGTGTTACCTTCCATGCAGGGCATGGGCTTCTAGGCCCCTTGATTTTCCTAGACCAGCAGTGGGTGCCCAGGGCCTGTGTGCAGGAGGGTGTTACTGGAGGGTGGAGGACACTTTGCAACAGGGTGTTTGTCTCCACCCAAGAGGCAGTCCTCCCAGCCCTACCCAGCCTGTGCCCTTCTTTCTGGGAGATGCCCGCCTGCCCCTGGCCTGGAGCCCGCTGTTAGTCAGCTCTCCTTGCCGTGGGCCAGTGCTCGAGGCAACTTACTTACAAAGGTTGACTGGAGTGCCTGGTCCTGCACTCACAGCGGAGCCATACCATCTCTCAGACTGGGGCTGGGGTCCCATGTTCTCTTGCAGGGCATGTCCCGATGACTGCAGGGCTAAGCCTTTATCACAGGGCCCCTGAGGGGACGTCCACTCAGCATCCTGGCCAGGCTAGCCTCTTGGGGTCCCACAGACCACAGAGCTGTGTCCCTGGGAAGCCTGGGAACAGATCCAGAAGGGCGCTGAGTGGAACACAAGGCCTGGGGGAGCCATCCGTCTCCAGGGCAAGACCCACGGTGGGGAGGGGCTCCCAAAGCAGTTTGGGCTGTTTGTGGCATGAGCTGAGTGGAGGGCCTTTGCTCTCTACACTGATCCACCCACAGCTGCCCAGAGCATCATGCCCTGCTGGAGCTCCCCCACATGGGTCTGGGTCCCTCCATCCAGTGACCAGGCGTGGGGGGGGGCTCCCTTTTGCCATTCTCAGCCATCAAGAACCTGGAGACAGGCAAGTTCATCTTAAATGAAGAGAACAACCTGGACCTCAATTCCAGATCCTTCATCGCCATGGGTGTGGAGTGGGAGTACAGGAACGAGGGCGGCCGGGAGACGCTGCAGACCATTGGCCCGCTCCGCGGCACCATCACCGTGCTGGTGAGCGGAGGGGCTGTGCCGGCCGTGGGGAAGGACAGGGAGCCCTGAGGCACCCTGCATTCTTCAGGCCATGCCCTGAACAACCCCGTGGCCTGCTCTGGCGGCCTGCTTCATGTCAGAGCCAGCAGCAGGCGAGGCCACACATTAGCCTCCGGTACGGCATCCCGCCCTGGGGACTTGGATGGTCTCTGCTCGAAGCACTTCAGCTTCTCCATCTGACTGGTACCGCCTTTGCTGCTGCCCGTCACACGCTAATCATGCCTGCTGTCACACTGAAGTGACATTCAGGGACCAGACCAGGCTAGGCTGGGCTTTGTCTCCAAGCGGGCTGTCCCCGATCTCCTTGTGCAGGACCACAAAGAGGCCCTAGTGATGAAGGGCTCCCCAAAGGCTGGATTTTCCAATCACTCGTTAGACTTACATTTCAGTTAATTGCATAAGTGGTATGTTTTATTTCTCAGCAAATTCAGACACTACCAAGAAGCCTCCTCTCCCCTGAGCCCTGCCCCGGGCCGCTGGCCACCCCGCTCCAGCAGCTGTGCACAGGGCGCGCACTGCAGCGAGGTCCAGGACAGGCCCGCGGCACACGCGCATGCTGCAGCCCGCTGGCCTTGCCCACTCGGACCTGTCGCTCCATAGAAAGGCCTGTGCGCCCCCTACCGGTAGCCGGGCTCACGGCGTTCACCCCTCACTAAAATCCCTTTGGGGCCCACAGTGGGACATTCACAGACTGTGTTTCCAGCTGAGGGGTGACCGCGGGACACTATCTTCGGGTTTTGGCTCCCATAAGCAAGAGCTTCTCAGCCCATCAGGTGTCACATACTGGGCATGCTGTGCCTTCCCGAGACTGGCTTTGCTGCTTAGCACAGAGCCGACTCCTGAAGCCCCGTCTGGAGCCCCTGAGCCCAAAAGGCTGTACTGGAGAACAGGCTGGGCTGGAGAAGGGCGTTCTGGCATGAATTGCAGGGTTGATGGTGACGAGGTCAACGACATTGAGTTGGCAACGTCTTTAACAGAAACACATCGTATAAAACACATTTATGTATTGATTAGTTGACCAAAAAAGGAGACATGGGCTCACAGGATGCTGCCCCTATATCAATGGCCCTTGACTTATAGTGCAGCCATACACCTTAAGCCCTTCATAAGTTGAAAATATAAGTCAAAGCATGTTGAGTCCTCCTCACCTCGGAAGTGCCCTGACTGCGTAGCACCATGCACTATAGTGGGGTCGTGTCTCCGGGAGGGCAGGGCTAGCTGGGAGCTTGCTTGCTGCTGCCGCCCAGCATCATGGGATACTGGACTGCATATGCCTTGGGAAAGGAGCCACGCTCAGCACCTGGGCTCTGCTAAATGCATATGCTTTTTGCACCATCATGAAGTCAAAGAGTTGTAAGCCCTGCTAATGAAAGTCAGGGACTGCCTGTGTCACCCCTGGGGTTGTGGTTTATTACCATTATTTGCAAATTCGGTGCACATAGTAATGTCACAGAACAGAATTCCTGGGCACAGAATCGGCTGTTAGTCTGCCCTGGGCTCACGTCCCTCAGCCAGCTGCCCAGCAAGGGGGCAGCAGAGCGAGAGTATTCATGGCTGTCTTGGGGTGGGCACAGGTCATCCCTGAGGGAGACGACCGGATCTCACTGACGTACAAATACATGATCCACGAGGACTCTCTCAATGTTGACGACAACAATGTGGTGGAGGAGCATACTGTGAGCCACGAGTGGGCGCTGAAGAAGTGGTCTCCCTGCTCCAAGCCCTGTGGCGGAGGTGAGGGCATGCTCGCGGCTGGGTTTCCTAGTGGAGCTTGGCGGCGTCCCTGGGCAGGGGCCCAGCTTGAGCAGAGGTGGGCATCCTGGAAGAGATCAGAGATGGGGGCACTTCAGGGAGAAGGGCTTCCTGAGCCGACAGCACACTGCTGATGTGCCGGATGTAAGAAGATTGGCCCTAAAGGAGGCCACAGCAGTGACCTTGGCCTGGCCCGGCCCGGGAGGGCTCTGTGGAGGTTCATGATGCTTAAGGCACCAAGCCAGAGGCCCCTGGGGAGCTTGGGGGTCACGCTGTGGCACTGGTGAGACAGGACCCCGGACACAAGCAGCGCAAGAGCAGCCCTGGGAGGGACTCAGGAAACCCAGAACATCCTGGGGCAGGGCTGACTGCAAGGGGCCACAGCTGCCCTGAACTTCAGAGTCCTTGGCTGCATGGGGCATAGGACATCCGGATGGTCAGGACTAACCTTCCTGGGCGCCTTGAAGTTTGTGGGGGCAGGGGCCTCACGCTGGCAGATGGCGCCCCCAGTTTCCTGTCATGCTTCCATGACACCATCTCTGCACTCCCTGTGCCTCTCTGACGCAGGGCTTGCTGACTCTTTCCCCTGCTGCCTCTTGGATCCGTCTGCTGTTCTTAGCTTCTTCACAGCCTTTCACTGGTGCTCAAACCGCCCTCCCACTGGCCAGTGGGAACCCACTCTTGGCCCCAGAGTAACCCTTCAGAGCGGTAAATTAGATCACGTTCCTTCCTGGTGTCATAGCGTCTTTTGTAGCGCCCTCTGTTCTTGGCATAAAGGCCAGAGTTGCCCCGGTGGCCTCTGAGGGTCAGGCGACTTGCTGACCACTCTTGCCACATTGACGCCTTGCTCCTCACTCCCTAGGCCCTGACCATGCCAGACTTAGGTGCAGTGTTGGTTGGCTTCCCATTTCTGTAACAGAACACCCAAGTTAAGCAGCTTATTAAAAAGGAAGTTTGTTTTGGTTCGTAGTTTTTGAGGGGTTCCTTCAGCTAAAGGTCAGGTGACCGCATTGCTGTGGGCAGTAGCAAGGCCGAGTGGTGTGGGAAGAGCACTGTGGGTGGGAAGCTGCTCTCCTCTCCTGGCCAGGAAGCGAAGGAGCCCCTGTGCTCTAACTTACTCCCATCAAGCTCCACCTCTTAAGAGCCCACACCTCCCGCAGCACCACAGGCTGGCAGCCTCGCCGTCTGCACCGGGCCTTTGGGGAACCTTTATCCAAGTCAGTTCCTGGACATACAGTTCTGCTCACAGGGCTTACACACAGGCTTCTCCTCATGTCCTCTCTAACCTCCCTGAAATCAGTGACACCCCTGTCTGCTCCCTGAGACCTCTCCAGATACCCAGACTAGGTCAGGCCCAGTAATGGTATGTTCTCTTGTCCGTGCACTAACTATTGACACTTTAAGCTCATTATTCTGTATTGTGGGGACACCATAGGATGTTGAGTAGTTTCTTCATGCCAGTAACTCCACCAAAACTGTCTTAGGCTTTGCCCCATGGCAGGGGAAGAATGTCATCCCGGGGCCTGCTGTGGGGACCAGGCAGGGCATGTGCCCTGTGCTGAGGAGTCCTGCAAGGCTCAGAGTGCAGTGAGTAGGGTGGAGCCTGTGACTAGTGATCAGAGAGAGACAGATGGCCCTGTGCCCCACGAGTTAAGAGGGGCCAGGTCAGAAGCAAGTGAGGGGCAAAGGCAGCCGCCCCCGGCCTTCTCACCCTCCTTTGGCCTCGGGTGCTGGGTGGCACCATGCAGTGACTCCTAGGGCCAGCTCCTGTGCACCGGGATGCAGTGCAGGGTGGAGCAGGACTGGCTGTACTGGCGGAGCCCAACCCTCAGAGTGCCTGGGGGTCTCTGCCGCCCACGTGAGCCCCCTCGAGTTCTCTGTCTCCAGGGTCACAGTTTACCAAGTATGGCTGCCGCCGGAGGCTGGACCACAAGATGGTGCACCGGGCCTTCTGCAACGCCCTGGCAAAGCCCAAAGCCATCCGCCGTGCTTGCAACCCGCAGGAGTGCTCCCAGCCTGTGTGAGTGTGGGGAGGTCCCTGCTCAGGTCCCACTCAGGGAGAGGCCGGTGCCACCAGAGCTGCATGGGGTGCGACAGGACCCCCAGGCAGCCTGGGGCCAGGTGTCCTCTGAGCCCCTGATGTGTCCTCACCTGTTCTGTGGAGCCTGAGAGGCTGCAGGTGGAGAGGTGCACCCTGGCTTCAGACCACTGAGCTGATGAGGCGTGCGTGTGAGAAATAACAGCGCATGGCAGCCCCCGAGAGGGAAGCTGAGGCTCACAGGCCCGGGCGCCTCCAGTGCTGGGGTGGGCACTTTCTGGGGAGCAGCTTTGGTCTGCAGCCCCTGCAGTTGGGCAGGCCTGCATTTCTGGGCCCGGTTTTTGCCTGGCTGGTCAACATGCTGATGGGAGACATGCAGGGACAGGGGTGATGGGTCCTCGCTACTCCTGAGCTCAGCCTCGAAATGCAAGGCCGGAGTGCAGGACCAGGAGCTTGAGGAGGGACAGAAAGCTAACAGGGCTCTGCATACTGGGCCCTCCCAGCCACCGTCCCAGCAGGGCCTCCCAGCTGCGGATGCGCATGGGGTTTCCCGGTCTCAGCGCCCCTCCTCAAGCCGATGCTGCCAGCCCCTTTGTGAGATCAGAAGCTTTGCCTGCAGGGCAGAGCAGCTGCCCTCGCTCCACCCTCTCACTCCCCCAGCTGGGCAAAGGGCACCACCCTCTCCAGGGTGGCCTGACCTGTGCTGCTCTGCCCCGACAGGTGGGTCACGGGCGAGTGGGAGCCCTGCAGTCGGAGCTGTGGGCGGACCGGCCTGCAGGTGCGCTCCGTGCGCTGCGTCCAGCCGCTGCACAACAACACCACACGCTCTGTGCACACCAAGCACTGCAATGACAACCGGCCCGAGAGCCGCCGGGCCTGCAACCGTGAGCTCTGTCCTGGTCGGTGGCAGGCTGGGTCCTGGTCCCAGGTAAGCTGCCTCCTAGCCCCAGACCTTCGTCCCCAAGCTGAAGGGCCAGGGTGTTCCACTTGGGCACAGCTCGTGTGCTGGGCCACATCTCCTGGGTTTCAGGGTACTGCAGGCACCAGTGGTTGGTGCCGGCTGACAGACACAGCAGGGCGCTGGGCGCTGTGCAGGCTGGGCCCAGGAGGCGAAGGGCAGCCTGGGCTCCAGGGCACGGCAGTGCTCAGGGCTCCAGCACTCCAGTAAGAGTGGGCTCTCATCTCAGAGGCTGCAAGTACATCTGGACACCCAGCCAAGCCGCAGGGAGGGAGAGGAGCAGGCGCCCTGGATGGAGGCTGAGGGTGGGCCAAAGGGTTGGAGCGCCGCTCCGGAGGCAGGGGCTGAGCACCGCCCAAGCTGATGGTGCTAGCAGCCCGGCCAGCCCCGGGCTCAGGACGCCCGACAGACTCAGATGTGGGGCTCGCAGTTGAAGTTTGCCACAGTGGAAGGAGACAGTAGAATCAGCAAACAGAAGGGAGGACACCCAGAGGAAAGGAGCATGGCCTTCCAGGTGACGGCCCGGCCAGCAGAGCCACAAGAGAAGATGTGCAGCCACGTGGGCGTGCGAGGTGTTGCCTCCAGTCTGCCTGGCAGTGCGGATGTCCAGAGCCTCCCACCTACCCCGGGGGCCCCAGCACCTCCACTACCCCACATGTGAACCCGCAGGGACCCAGGCAGACCATGCACAAACTTCCGCAAGGTGGGGTCCAGGCCTCATGCTTCGCATTGCACTTGGAAGGGTGCAGAGAGACGGTGCAGCCTCTCCCTCTCCATCTCCCTCTCAGCCCCAGGAGGCTGGGCAGCACCAGGGTGGGAGGAGGCAGGCTGCAGACACCTGGTCCTGCACTGCTGATCATGTCCACGCGGAGCCTGTGGGGGGTTGATGCTCACAGGAACTCTGTCCCCCACAGTGCTCCGTGACCTGTGGCAATGGCACCCAGGAGCGGCCAGTGCTCTGCCGCACAGCGGATGACAGCTTCGGTGTCTGCCGGGAAGAGCGACCTGAGACGGCGAGGGTCTGCAGGCTCAGTCTCTGTCCGCGTAAGCCCTCTGAATGAGAGACAGAGGGGCTTGGTGCAGGGAAAGGTAGCCCCTTGGTCTTGTAGCCCAGGAAGGCTTGATCCTTCCCTGGGTGGGAAGCGGGGGGCCCTGAAGGCGGCCATGCCTGAAGGACGTCCAGGCAGCCCTGAGCAAGCCGTGCTGATTCCAGCCACCCTGGCGCTATGGCCCTCTGTCTGCGTGGGCAGTGCCGCCACCCAGCAGGTGCTGTAGCGCATGTGGGTAAGGAGAGACCCGTGAGTAAAGTGTGCCCAGTGCCCGGGCGTGTTGGAGGGCCATGGTGGTGGGGTGTCTCTGTGAGGGGTGCCGTGTGTGCAGCGGGTGCTGTCTGCGCAGAACACTGCAGATGCCTGCCCAGGGTGTCACGTGCCACTCTCTTTGGGCCCCTTAGCAGCTTAGTATGCCTCTGCCCAGCAGGGTAGCCTGAGCAGAGGAGGGAGTACAGGGGTGCAGGGCACTGGCCGTGGGGGTGGATATTGCTGGGGTTCCTCCTTCCCACTGTGCCACGCTGTCCTGGTGATTCTCCAGCTCAAAGCTCGAGGCCGGGCTGGAGAAGCAGGGTGAGCAGGGGGATTCAGAGGAAGGAGCGGAGCTTAGGACCCGAAGGGCCCTGCAGGGTCAGTGAGGCCCAGGATCTGCAGAGAGCGGCAGAAAGCGGGACCTGTTGTCCCCAGGGAAGGCCTTGAGCACCCAGGAGAGAGCCAGGCCTCCCTGTTGTGCTCTCCCTGGGTGCTTGGCATGCGTGTGGCCTCCTCAGTGGCAGCCACCTCTCTCCCTCTGTCTCCTCTCCAGGAAACACCTCGGACCCCTCCAAGAAGAGCTACGTGGTTCAGTGGCTGTCGCGCCCGGACCCCGACTCACCTGTCCAGAAGATCTCAAGTAACCGACCCGTTTATAACTCTGCCTCTGCCCTCCAGTGCATGCCCTGCGCCCTGTGGAGCTTGCCTTGGGCTCCGCTCCTCTCTGTCTATGGAAAGCTTCCTTGACTCTCGCTGAGCACTCTCTCTTGGTCGGAATCTGTTTTCTTCTGGGCCTTGAGCTCGGCATCTCCTCTGGAGCTTGTGCCGCCTGGCCTCGAGCGCGGGCTGGCCTCCAGGAGGCCTGGCCTCTTCTGGGGGCTGGGACCCAGTTGGCGATGGCTTGTAAAGGGGCAAAGATCTGTCGCGGTGCTGGAGGGGCCTGAGGCCCACGTGCGAATGTGACCACTTCGCCATGGTGACCGCTTGCGGCCGTGTGCAGCGGCTGAAGCTGCAGCCTGGAAGTCTGCGGCCAGGCCCGCCCCATCCCCTGTCACACCGCCCACCACCAAGGCGAGGCCGGTGGGGTCTCTGGGTGCGAGTTTTTGTGTTGCCATGCTGGGCGACCGGACCCGAGTTTCCGGGGGTGTCAGGGGCTCCCCGGCTGCTACTGCTGTTGCTGCTGCCGCTCACCCTTTTCTGAGTGTCCTGACTCGTGAAGCCACGGCCTGCTTCCGTTTGGCCTTTGCATCCAACTACACAGCCCCTGCCCTGTCCCCTGTCCGCTCAGGGGTTCGGTCACGGGGAGGGGATGAGGTGTTCCTCATTGGACGCTGAGGACACACCACCACTGTCATTCTCTGTCCTTTTGCTCCAATGGCCTTTTCTCATTGTGTGCATATGACCCCATCCACAGGGTGGAGAGAGTGAGAGGGTGATTTGTTGGCTGATGACTGACTGACTGACTGACTATCTGATATGGATGTGCCTCACCTACCAGTGTGAACAACTACAGAATTACCTCAATTTTTATTGCTTTTTTGCTTAGAAAAACTATGTAGAAAATGCCTTAAAGTTGAAAGGTAACAGAATTGGCTGCTCGCTCCAACCTCAGAGGGGGTTTGGTCTTGGTAGGAGGCAGACACTGGAAGTTCAGGGGGTGCCGGCTGGACTCGTCCTCTTTGCCCCGGGAGGGGACTGTCCCCAGACCCAGGTGACCCTGCCCCTGCTGCTCGCGGCCCTCTGTCCTGGAGAGGCAGGCACACCGCTGAGCAGGGGACACCCACGCAGCCCTTTGGCGCTGACTGTTGCATGGAGACCCCGGGGGGCTCCAGCAGGGCAGCCTTACACCCAGATGGTAACACCCTGGTTCTCAGCCGTGACCAATGTAGCACTCCGGCCCTGCCACCCACCAGCCCCACCTGCCAGCCCCTTCATCTGTTCATAACCCGTCCTCGCTGGCCCCCGCAGCTGAGCCGCCCTCCTCTGGCACTAGTTACTGTTATGTAAATAACAAGTGTGTAACTGCATACTAATCCTCACGACTGTTAACTTCCAACTTTGACAAGGCAGTGTGAGAGGCCTGCGTGACTGCGGAAGGTGCAGTACAGTCCTGGGCATTGTGCTCTCTGTCTATATGCACTTTGATTTATCAGGGATATTTTATTAGTGTTTTGTATGTATTTAATGGCGTATTATATAGGTTCCATTGTCGTTGCTTTTCTGGTTTTGTTTTTTTTTTAATGAGACGATGTTAGCGTGTGCCAAAGTGACTGTGAAAATGACCTTTATTCTTACTAATAATGGAAAGATCCCCTGTCATGCATCCCACAAATAAACTCAATAAAAATTCCGTGAAACTGGGTGCTTGGGTGTGGCAAGCTAACGGCTCCTTCTGTTCCCCTGCAGGGCGGGCAGCACTGAGGACTTGGGACTCGCCCTGGGCATCACCTTCTTTCTGACTCAGATGTCTTTGCTCCCCTTTCCTTCTGCCCCGTGTAGATACTGAGGGCCCCAGACACACCCAGGCATCTTCAAACATGACGACAGCCTTCTGCCTTGGTTTGGTCTTTTAAGTGGTTAGTGCTGAGTAAGAACCTTGCAGGAGCCTACTTTTCTGCTCACAGGGATGGTCTGGCATCCAGGAAGGGGGCCCCCACTGGGGCACTGCCCTGGTGCCTTCCGGGAGGGAGAGGCACCCCTGCGGCACAGGTGTTGGGGGCAGAGCTCAGCAGGGACTCCTGACCTGGACACAGGCCATGCCCGACAGGTGAGAATCTCTCACCCCTTTCCTGTGTCACAAGCAGTAAGAACTCACAGGACACCGTGAGAAAGGACACCAGGGAGCCGCTCCTAGCATGGAGAGGGCTGCAGGGCTGCGGGGCTGTGCCAGAGCGGTGGCTGATGAGTAACGGAAGGAGAGACGGGATTGCAGGGACAGCTGTGCCTGGCAGTACCACATCCTACTGAGCCAGCCCCTGAGATGGGGCAGGAGCAATTCCATTCCAAAGGGGCCTCTGGGCTGCTGTGGAGGCCGTGTGACCAGGGGACACCTGAGGCACAAGGATGGTGCTCACCTTTTAAACAACTTGCATGATGTTTTGAGTGGTAAACTGAGTCCAGGAGCCTCTGACCTGATACTGAGCAAAATGTGGGAACTGGGAGCCGACAGTGGATACAAGCAGGGTACATGTACACCCCCGACCTGTAGGCGGTTCCTATTTCTTGTTACCCTCTTCCACGCCCTGACAGAAAGCCTCACTCGGTGCCATTTTGGCATCTCTCACAGGTCTTGCTCTCCACTCAGCTTTGCAGAGGAATGGCTTGGTCTTGGTAGCTTTGTGCTGCTCTGACTGAATGCCGAGGACAGCCACTTAGAGAAGCAGATGCAGCCACGCTTTGGTACTCATCTTTAATGTGTTGTAGGACTTGTGACAAGTGCCAAGGACTCAATGAATTTGTCCCCATAAGAAATAATGCAATCAAGAAAAAGTTGAGCCTTCATGTTTTTTTTTGGGGGGGGCAACATAAGCCATTCGGGATTAGCGGTATCACCCTTTTTTTTTTTTTTCAGTCTATGACTAGCATTTAAAATGCACAAAAGAATTATGGGGACTGTGCCCAATTTGAAAGCTGTCACGAAACTGACCGAGGCAACAAATGCTGAAACCTTGTTTTCTGCATTGAAGGGTGACGCATAAGGTTTTGCGCTCTGGAGCCAGCAAGTCCCAAAGTCTAATTGTATTTATTGCAGTGCCCGCTTTCAGTCCAGGCTTGACTGGCTCGAGGCAGAGCCATCACACAGCAAGGTACGCTGAGGAAGGCTGCTCACTTCCGGGCAGCCAGGAAACACAGTAAGGAGAGGTAAACAGAGCGAGGGGTCAGGACGAGAACGCGCCCTTCCTGCTCACAGCCTGCGGGTGCTCATCAGGCCGGGCTCCCCTCCCAGCAGTACACTCAGGTGGAAACGCGTTCCTGGGTTCGTACAGCACCTTGGGCCCCAGTCACCTGAACACAGGAGCTTCTGGGGGACTTTTTTTTTTATCCAAACCATGTTGTTTGATGTATTAGAAATTGACTTTAAAATTTACTTCAAAGGACTTTTTTGCACAGTACTTTCTTTTTTTAGGCCTTCACTAAGCTATACTATCATCCCTTTTTTTATTTTTTATTTTGAGACAGGATCTCACTAAGTCCCTAAGTTGCCCAGCCTGGATTCAAACTGATCCTCCCGCTTCAGCCTTCCAGAGTGCTTGAATCACAAGGCATGTACGTGATCACTGTGCCAAGCTAGAATTTTTATAATCATATTTAGGGCTACTTTGATGTACTGCAGTCAGCATCCACGAATGCTCGTGATATTAAGTTTCCTTCAAAAACAAAATTCAATTTTTAAAAAGTTCATTTAAAGGAAACCATTAAGCATGACATAATCCAGATGGTGTGAAAGACTGCCAAGTCCGAGGGTGGGACACACACGTGGGGTGTTTACAAGAAAGGTGTTTATCCTCCATGGCTTACGGTTGTTCCATAGAAGCCAGTAGGTCTTGCTAGTTCATTGTTTCTGTGAAGTGGTAGATCAAGATTTATAAAATCCAAACTCTTCTCTTGGCGGCACTCCTCTGCCAGCCAGATTTCAGGACCCTTTGAGGGCTTTCTGGTTAGTGATGCTCCTTAAAAATATGCTCCCATGGTGTGTGCTGAGCAGTGACCATGGCAACGGTTTCTGCTGTCCTGGGAGGTGGTTTCGGGACCTTTCCAGATGCTCCTGCCCCTTAGGTAATGACATGAGGTCAGTCTGCACGCAGCCAGGCACACCCACTCATGCGCTTACACCTCCTCCGGATGGCGGAGCGCCTGATACAACGCCCTGCATGTGAACACGTATTACACTACAAAGCTCAGAGAGTCACGACAAGAAGAAGGTGTGTGCATGTTCAAATCAGGTGCAACTCTTTACAAGTATTTTTGATCCATGGTTGGTTGGATCCCACGAGGTGGAATCCACAAATACTGAGGCTAACTGTTTGCTGAACCTATTCTAGGTTGATATTAGCATAGTCAAGCTCTTGACCAATGACTTTACCCTTTATTCATTCATTGGCTTATTTTAATATTTAACACTGGGGAGCACTGCCACTCACTGTTCAAAGGAAATCAGAAGTCAAGATGGAAACCAAGTGGCAGGGAGGCATCCCAAAAGGGGATCCCATCCTGGTCCCCAGGGCTGCGTGCACACACTCAGTAGACGTTTACAGGGTGCTTTCTCTGTGTCAAGCCCAGAGCCAGGCATGCCTTCAATGCGTGCAGCCAACTGCCCCGCAAGGGGCCAGAATTGAACAATTTTAGGCATCTGAGCCCGCGCAGTCCCCGTCACAACTACTCCGGCTGCTGTTGCAGTGCAAAAGCAGCAGAGATCAGAAATGAATGGGAATGGCTGTGTTCCAGCAAACTTTCATTTGTAGGACAGATGACAAGACAGATTTGGTCTACATCCACTGCTTTCCGACTCCTGCAGGTAGTAAACAAAAGGGCGTAGCTGGGGGGCTACTAGTCAGCTTTTATGGTCACTTGTCCTATTGCTTTGGGACCGTGGCAGCACAGTGCATGCTGTCTGGAACACGCAGTACAGGAGCGCTGTTTACCTCACGATGGCCAGGACACGAAGCCAGGCAGGAAGGGGCCACCCACGTCCTCTCCAAGTCCCGCCCCCTGACCTCACTGCCTCCACATAGGCTCCACCCTTTAAAGATCCCAGCGCTTCGCGGTTGTGCCCCCGGGGTGCAGACTAAGCCTTGGACGCACAGGCCTTTGGAGAGCATGCTAAACTCAGATTATAGCCACTGATCTTTAATAACATTTTATTTACAGAGCCAAGTGGAGGGACAGACATGGCCCAGGGCCGTAGCTCCCAAGCCCTGTAATTAGATCAGCCTGATGGCCAGTTTTCAGGACCTCCAGCCTGACAGGAGAAGGGGGTAGAAAATGAGGACACTGAGGAATGTTTGATGGAGTCTGTGTAAAGGAAAAGGCACAGGCAGGGGACCATGGCAGTGTGGCTGAGGCCGCCGCCCGCTCCCAGCTCCTTCCATCGAGTCTTGCGAGCTGGAAGCCATCACTGGTTCTTCTGGAAGCCCTGGTGACCCCAGGACAGCTGTGATGGGTGGTTTTCATACCTTTCGGCAGGGTAGAGAGGAGGAAGAGGACCGAGGAGGGGCAGGGAAGGATGCAGGTGGTGGTTTGCGTCCCCAGGTTCCTGACTTTGGCTCTTCCATAGACTGGACATCTGTGGGCAAGCTTTGTCTGAGTGAAGCCCGGAAGCCACTGGTGGGCCCCTGGTCTTGGTCCCCGGGGTGCAGCCCTCCTGCTCTGAACAGTGAGCGTAGGCCGGTGTCGGTGTCGGGAAGACCCCAGCTTTTCCTGAGCGGCTCATCTGTGTCTTCTTCACGTCGTGGGGCCTGCAGCCACACGCACTTCCTCCTCCTCCTCGGGGCCCCTGGGAGGCTCGGAGCTGCCCTGGGTCTGGGTCTGGCCTGCGTGGCTCTTGCCCGGAGCTTTGCTGACTTTCGCCCAGCGTTTCCGTTTTAGACTCGCCGACGCCCACACTGGCCTCCGCGTGGTTGCGCACTCTGCTCGCTGCACCTGGAGTCCAGCCTGTGCTTCCCTTCTGGGGCTTCCAGGTGATGGCAGGTCGGGGACCAGCCTGTTCCTGACTTAGAGGTGCACTGCCAGCTGGCATGAAAGTGGAAGGCCGAGGGCGCAGAGACAGTCGCCAGGGGCGGCTTCCTTGACAGCCAGGGGAGGCCTGCTGGGAAGGTGAACTTCAGCTAAGCGGAAGACGAGGGTGCAGCTGGACAAAGCCAGAGGCACAAGCGCTGCGAGGGCCTGCAGCCACGTGCTGGACAGGGCCCTCCCAGCATAGAGCTGGACGGTGGGGAGGACAGGCTTCATCTTAGGGCAGTGCAGGGGCGAAGCGAGGGCTCCAGGCAGGACCCTCACGCACAGTCACCGCTCCAGCGGGGCGCACTATTCTGACTGGAGGGGCGAGGCGAATGAGAGACAGTAGGCGTGTAGTGCTGCCCGCTGCCGTGCAGAGGAAGTGATCCAGGAAGAGGTGGGGAGCCAGACGGACGCAGGCGAGAGGAGGACGCAGGCGAGAGGAGGACGCGGGCGTGAGGAGGACGCGGGCGTGAGGAGGGGGTGCACGCGGATGCAGCGGCAACCTGGGGGGAGGGGGCAGAGGGACACCGGCGAAGTGCCACTCTTTAAGTGGAGCTTGAAGTCACTCTGTAGAACTCATGGGCCTCACCTGCTGCTCAGACTCTGAGAGGCCGCGAAGCCAGCTTCTGCGGGCCCTGCGTGGAGGAGGGGAGCCTTGCTGGCGGCTTGCGCGCTCCCAGGCAGGGTCTGGAGGACGATGCTCCGGCGCCCAGGCCAGCAGCCACACGCACTCGCGCGAGCTCACCTGCCCTGTACTGACTCCAGGCTCGCCCATGCCTCTGCCAGCAAGCTGTGCCCGTGGGGGAACAGTCCCCCGCGCCTTGTCCTTTGGTTATGTGTCCCGCTTTTCTTTTTCAGAGGGCCACTGCCAAGGCGACAAGTCAATGTTCTGTAGGATGGAGGTCTTGTCCCGTTATTGCTCCATCCCGAGCTACAACAAGCTGTGCTGCAAGTCCTGCAACCTGCGCAACGCCACCGACGCCGACGACCAAGCGGAGCCGCAGCCCGGGAAGCACAACGACATCGACGTGTTCATGCCCACACTCCCAGGCCCCACACTGAGCGCGGAGGGTCCGCCTTCACCTGTACCCCCGCTAGAGGTCCCTGGCAACGCCTCCAGCGCCAATGCCACGGAGGACCGTCCGGAGGCGAATGCCGTAGACGTGCCCTACAAAATCCAAGCCCTGGATGACGAAGCCCAGCCACCTAACCTAATCCCTCGACGACCGAGCCCATATGAGAAGACCAGGAACCAGAGGATCCAGGCGCTCATCGATGCCATGCGGAAGAAAGAGACGCTCGGGAAGTTCTAATAAAGTGGAAAGATAGCACCAGTAGCATTTTTTTTTTCTTGTTTCTAAAGATAATTCATGGGATAGCAAATCCTGTGTCAAGAAGATGAAGCCAATTCCTGATTCCAAACATTTTGGGAAAACAAAGGGGGTGGTGGAGCAAATACCTACATAGATATGTGTGTGTGGCCACCAAGCAGATGTGTGTGCTGCCAGTCCAGGGGCGGCCTAAGCCCAGGGTGTGCGGTGGGCTGAGCTGTGGGCGGAGGTGGCAGGAAGGCTGGGCCATGTCACCTCCATCAGAGAGAGGTGGTGAGAGGCACAGCTCTGAGAGAGAACATGCCTGAGGGGCTGGCGGTGGCTGGGAGAGGCCTTTCTGTGGCGGGGCTACAGGCCGTGTCCTGCTGATGCCCAGAGAGGAGCCCCAGGGAGGTGAGCAGTGGGTGAGCCACGGCCTGGATGAAAAGTGAGATGGAAGCCACGGGCTCCCAACCCTCCAGGGCTAGGCATGAAGTAAGGAGGGGCGTAACGGCTAGGTAGGCATGGAGCTAAGCTGAGGGCCACCTCCGTTTACAGCTGACCATCAGCTCCACCATTGCTGTCACTGAAATCGGTGCTTCTCTCATTGGCCTCCACCCTGGCTTGCCAGACAGTGTGTAGATTTTCCCAGGAAAACTCTGACTCTTTGAAGTTTGACTCAAAGTATGTTTGGTTTCTTGATGCGCTCACTGCAGCCTCCGTCTCTCACCTCCCACAACACAGATAAAGAATTAAGGACTTCAGAAGTCTCCTGACCCCTTGGTGCCCACATTGCTTGGTGCTTGGTTGTCTCCTTTGGGTTGGGCTGTGCAGCTCTGTCTGCTTCTCCAGAGGCACTGTGACCCCTGTGACTGGGGACAGGCTGGAGTGGGAGGCGAGGGCCATGGGGAAGACCCTGGACTCTGTCCTCAGCAGCCCTCCTGCACTCTGGCCTCCTGGCTCTGGGGCCTCCGTGCCCCTCCCATGGCCAGAGGATGAGCAAGGTTGTGCTTCCCGGGGTCTCCCTCTGCCCTCAGGTGCTGCGAGGATGCTGCACCCGGTGGGCTGGCTTTGCTTCTGAGCACCAGCTCTGCCTGGGAGGGCTCCCCCATCTCCCCCTGCGCCAGCCCCACCTTGGTCCCTTAGAAGGCTCAGAACCCAGCAGGGACCTGAAGACACGGCCCCTGAGGGCATGCAGCTGGGCTTGGCAAAGGCCTGTCTTCCCTTTTGCTCTTTCAAGGGATCTATGACTGGTAAGAATACAAAGCCTGAGACCTAGGAGCTCTCACTTCACTCTGTCCGGAAGTGCAGTTTTCAGTGGATCTTTTCCACTTTGAAGAACCTGAGTTCTCAGCTTGCCAGTGGTGCTTTGTGAGCAGGATGGAAGGGAAAGGAAGCGGGAGGGCGGGGCGAAGGCCCAGGGGCATGCAGTGGCTAGGCCACACCTCTTGCCACACTGATATTTTATACACATGCTTCCGATACCCAAAATGGCAAGACCCAGAGCCTGTTCGCTCCATACTGGCCTGGCTTGACACATAACTCTGAAACTTCCCTTGTCCAGGAATGTTCTAGAGGCTTTGTGTTCTCACCAGTCATAGACCTCAGAGAACTCCCCACTAGATTATGGAGTGCTGAGGTTCAGGAGGTTCCCTGATGGCTGTCTTGCCCTGCGTTTTGAGGTGCTGGTAAGTCTGTTTGTCCGAGCATGTGTGGGCATGCGCGTGTCTGGGTGATGTCTGAGGACAGTGACAGTGTGGGGACCAGCCGCAGTGGTGTCTGGGTGCATAATGCTCTCCTCCTGGCTGGCAGCCGCTGCCCGGCCCCGCCAGCCTCCCCTTGCTGCTGCCGCTCCCCACCCTTTGCTCTCCTCTGTCTTCCGGAGAATCAAACAGTATCTCTAGTATCTCTTGTGAGATGTGGTGGAGAGCATGTTGTAGTCCTGCTGCTCTGTAAGTCAGGAATGGGTCTGAGGCTTTCCCTCATGTGTAGAATCCCATGTTAGTTATGGGCTGGAGAATGAAAGATTTCTTGCTCAGGTCTATAGTAGAATGCAGAGGAAATTCAGGGCTAATGCTAGCCAGGGACGCTTCTCAGTTACCCAGCCTAGGGTCTGTGGAATGGGACTGCCCATTCCCAGAGGCCAAGAGAGGCCTTCCCTGGATACCTGTCCTCTGCCAGAGAGAGGTGTCCTCAGGCACTGAAGCCCAACCTGGCCACAGCCCCACATGCCACCCCCAGGGCCTTGCCCCTTGCAGTCACACAGTTCTCTGGAGGTGAGGTGGCTCTCGGTCGCCACTCCTTCTGAGAAGCGCCGCTTCACTAGGCTCTTGGGAACTGCACATCTCCCCTGAGCACATGTAGAACAGGCTTGCACACCCTCGTGAGTGTTCCCAGCCAGCTGAGTGGACCGTGCACGCGGGCGGGCACACGCCTTCGAGCTGAGGTTTCTAACACTGAGTGATGCCCAGCTGTGCACATCACCTGGAAAGTCTCCTGAGATACCCAAAAGTCACTTCTCATTCTGGGGGAGGGGAGATGTGTGCTAGATTTGGGGACCTAACTCTCTGATACACTTTTCCTGGAAAACCCATGGAATTTCATAGATAAGCCTTTTGTTTGTACTTTAGGGTTTTTCTTGTCTGTTCTGAGTATATCATGGTGCTCAGTAGCAACGCCGATGTCAGATGAAGCCTTACGACTATTTACTCCTGTATGACAGGTAGCCACCATACAGGACCCTCGAGGTGCTGAGCTCAGATCACAAACTTCTATCTCACTGATAACCGCCACTAATACATTTTTGTTCTGTATAGAATTTGAAATCCTAGTTTTATAACTTATTAAAATTAAAAGTGTCTGTGTTTTTGCAAACCATGACTTTGTTTGTTTGTTAGCATTACTGTGCTTGTCCCCCACCCCTAGCTAAACCTGGGCAGAAGGAAAGAGTGTGCCACCTTCACAAGGCAACCTTAGGAGTGGGGGACCCCCTGGCTCTCCAAGGAACACGAGTGTCGCTGTCCAGTCAGGACCCTGCGGGCTACAAGAGGCACTCCAAGGAGCGGACACTGGAAGGACATGGCCTCGGCAGGGCCCCCATTGCTGCCTCCCTGCAACCTTTGCTCCCCTAAGGTTAGTCAGGGTTTCCAGAAACATCAGACACCAAGCGAAATTTGAATTTCAGGGAGACATTGAGCACTTTGATATAATCCTGTACTTATCTTTCTGTTCTTGTTCAATTATGTATCGATCAGAGTTTACTCTTTCATCATCTCCATTCGAGTTCTCATTTTTGACATGTTTTGTTAGTTTTTCATTATAAAATATTTCATTTGGTTTCTTTTCTCTTTCTTTCTTTCTTTCTTTCTTTCTTTCTTTCTTTCTTTCTTTCTTTCTTTTTCTTTTTCTTTTTCTTTTTTCTTTTTTTTTCCAGTACTGGGGATTGAACTTAGGCCCCTTGTGCTTGCCAGGAAGTGCTTATTCCACTGAGCCATCTCTCTGTCCCCAAAATCTGACATTCTCATTCATTTCTTAGTCATACTTTTTGAAGCATTTCTGTAAATTTAGTCTTAATGCACAGCTGGACAGAAGGAATAAATCTCTGTTCTGTAGGAGAGTAAGATAACTATTCTTGGCAACAATTACTTGTAATATCAAAATGGCTAGTAAGGAGCATTTTGAATATTCCCCAAATAATGTGTCTGAGGTAATAGACATGCCAATCACCTGCATTTTACACTGTATACATGTAATGAACTGCCCCTCCCCGTCAATGAAAATGTAAAATCACACAAAAATAATGCCTCCTGGTTGCCGCGGGGGTCGTCTTGGAGCCAGCGTCTGTGGTCTTTTCCCAAGCCGATGTTTGAAGGTTCCTTTTTGAAGGTTTCCTAATTGATGTATTTTGTCTAACTCTGCATTGTATTCTGGATATTTACTGTGCTGGGAGACAGTAAGCATTTAATTCTCCTGCAAACTGCTGAGCTTTCCTACCCACCACCACCTTGGCAGATGATTTACCTGGCCAGCTTGCCAGAGTTCGTCTTCCTCTTGTGAGGCACGGCTGTCAGAGGTTTTCTGTAGTCACCTGCAGCGCCACGTGGACCTGCGCCATACGTCACTGTTCACTGTGTCAGGGTCACATCTATCTGACAAATCCAGGGCGAGCCCAGGATTGCACGGACAACTTCTTGAGATCACTTTCCGCTTTCCTGCGACTGTGAGGCAGGATGCATCGGTTTCTGAGCTGCCCAGGTAATAGTTCCTGCTCCAGATCCAGCTGCTCCTGTCTCTTAGAGATGGCTGGTTACTGTGATGCACACTGTCTAAGCCAACCTCCAGTGGACAAGCCATTCTGTTCTGCTTGCTTGTCCCATGTACACCCTAGGCCACCAGACAGGCCTCATCCACTGGGAATGACCCCCATCAGTGCCCACTGGCGTAAATAGTCTGCCTCCAAAGCCTGGGTTCCATGTCTGAGCTTCTGCTTGCCACATCAGCCAGGAAGAGCAACTATGCTGACCTCTTTGGTCAGCAGTCATGGCCCTTGCAGATGGACCAAGGACCTCCAGGGCCTGACAGGAAGGTGCACCTTTGAGATTTCCCAAGTCCCCTCAGCGGTCTGGAGCAGGATTTCTGGATCCCTTCTCAAATAACTCACATCAGACCCCAGCAGTCTGTGTGCCTGTCTGCTTGCCTGATTCCATTAGGACCCTGGGGGGCACCTGGGTAGCCAGTCTGTCAGTCCTGCTCAGTTCAAGCAGAAAAGCTTGATTAACTCTTGCTAGTCTGGACCACCTTCAAGGGGGAGGGGCTGGGATGTTTAGCCTTAGAGTGCCTGCCGTGTGGATGTGTGAGGAGGACAGGGCAAGCAGTGGGCGGCACCAGCTATGTACCACGAATGCGGAGCACGGGCTGGGTCCTCATCTGCAGTCCCGTGGCAATCGACACATGGCATGACGGAGGCTCGAGCTTTCCCTGGTGAAGTCACTTCTACGTTCCCATCAAGAGAGAGGCCAGGCAACGGGGTCTGAGTGGTCTCCCTCTGCAGGGCAGCCATCCTTTCTCAATTGCAACATCATTCAAGGGCACAAGATACACATGTCAGGAGCCAGAAATGATAATTAATTTGTCAAAACCCATAGCCCCTGACAACAGGAAAAAGGCTTTTAGAAAGTTAAAATGAAACCAAACTCCCCCATGCATCTCAAAGAAATAAAAGGAAAGAGTTCCATTCTTCCTGAGAATTCTGACCTGGAACTTTCATCAGCCACAGCAGCTGGTACCAACAGTTCCACCCGCCTCTCCAGACTCATCTACTTCCAGCCAAACGAACTGGCTTCAGCTGGCCATTGCTGTGCTTGGGCACAGGCGTCCCAAGCCCAACACACCTGTTTGGTCAGATGGCATCAGACCACCCACCCAAGACGACTGTCAGCAGTGCCTTCTGCATTCCACATTTTGACTGAGGAAAATCGGGACTGCCAACTCTGATAGAGTTGCCATGGCTTTTCCAAAGGTCACCTCACCAAGAAACAACCTAGTTGAGTGCTTTTCAAAGGGGGGAAGCCCATCAACGACCAATGCCTAGAAGCCTGATGAAAGCACCTGGTGTACCACCACACCCTCTCCCTGGTGAAGTCACATCTACGTTCCCACCAAGAGGGAGGCCAGGCAATGGGTCTGAGTTATAAGGACTATGGACACTAAAAAAATGCCCATTCAGATTTAAAAATAAGAACCCTCAAAGCTTCAGCCTGGCTCGGATGACACTTCATCAGTCTGATGGGCTCAGATGGGGCCAGAACAGGCTCCTTCCTTCAGCCTGGCCATAAGGAGTCCTAGTGCCATCTCTAGGGCACCAAGGACTCTCGCCTCCAGACCCTTCTGTGAGGCACGAACCTGCAAGGACATTTGTAAACCGTGTAAACCAGTCCCCATACTGCTTTTGGGGCACGACCTCCTGTTTGAGTCAGAAGTAATCATCTCCTTTGCACCAAGCCCGTCATCCTCCCTCTCAACTCTGTGCTTTCAACTCTGACCATTCCCTGAGAGGAAGACGACACCTGTATCAGCCTGAGATAGAGAGCCACAGTCTTGAAATTCTACACACTCTCCTCCCAGAGGTATCGACTACAGACTCGGCTTGGGCCTGGCCATCTGCCATGCTGCCTCTCACCTAGGTGCTGTCAGATGTCACAGGAAACCCAAGCAGGCACCCAGCCACTCACCAGCCTAGGCGACTGCCTGTGGACCACCTTGGCCCAGCTCTCCGTGCTGTCAAGAGTGCAGCTGTCACTGACATTCTGCAGTTCCCCACCACACACTTTTGCACTGTCACTCACTTGCCTCATGGGTTTGGGGACTCTCTTAGCATTTTCAGAGAGGCTCTGACAACAGATTTGGCTGCTCTGAAACAGCCTATTTCTCCCTTCCAGATCCACAATTCTGTCACTGTCCCCTGAGCTCTGAGATTGGGCCATCAACCGCCTGCCTCTGATCGTGAAACTCCATCCTGAGTCAACCCCCACCCGCATCAAACAGTATCCTGTGCTACCAGACACTCAGCTAGAAATTCAACCACACATCGAGGTTTCAAAAACGTAAAATGTTTATAGACTGTCAAACTGCCTACACAGCTCTCCTGCCCAAAAGCCAGTCCAAGATCTCCAAGCTGCAAGTGCCACTGTGACTGCCCGCCCACAGGTCTCCGGCTTCCGCCACCACAGCCTGCTGGTGCACCTGCCTGGACCTGAAGGCGTGCACCTTCCTTTGCCTTCAGGTGGCTCCTGTCAGCCAAGCCCGCCCTCTTCACATTTAAATGAAAAGACCCTGTTCGGAACTCAAAAGCCAACTGACCTAGACTCAGCCTCCCAGGGGTTCAAAACTTGTGTACTCTCTGAAAAAGCACTTCTGCTGAATGGCACTCAAGCTGCCTACCGGGAAGACACAAAAGTTCTGCTATCACTTCTGGCAGAAACTGGTTAAAAAAAGAAACTCCACAAATTTTTCTTTTTCTTTCTTTTTGTTTTTGTTTTTTGGCGGAACTGGGGGTTGAACTCAGGCCCTTGTGCTTGCCAGGGAAGTGCTTATTCTACTGAGCCATGTCCCTGGACCCTCCACAAATTTCTTAAGAACTGCTGGCTTCTATAAAACGTGAATCCTTGAGCTCACAGAAACAATGATGTTTACTCAGCATCCAGCGGCCACCTGTGTGAATACTTGGCCCCAGCTGCTAAGGGCTGCCTCCCCCTTTCCCTCCATGCTCTAAGAGACATTGCTCTTCTGATCAAGAAAGCTGACAAGCTCACCCTGGGCCAAGACCTAACTGTCCAGGCGCCAGCTGCTGTGCTGGACCTTACCCAGTACCAGTGACTGCTTGGCTGGATGATAAACTGTTCTCAAACTGATCAAACTTAAAAAATAATCCCCTGGCAGATGCTGAGAACACCTGTCTATGGATGTCAGCAGCTCTGTTAGGACAGGCTAGATATGCTTTGGGCACTTTGGACAAAGTTATTTTGGCCAAAGTTCCCCTGCTACTGGTTCATGTTGCTGTTTGGAAAACCTACCACTAATGCAAAATAATCTAGTCCAGAGACCTAAGCCCGCTCTGGGAATTCACTTGACTAAAACATCCACCCCAGCCACCAGAGCTGCCTCCATATATTCTGCAAGCTTAAGCAGCTGCCCACAGCCCTGTAGCCAGCTCAGGCTTCTGCGTCTGTGTCACGGACCCAATCTCCCATTTCCTACCTGCACTAAAAAGACAACAGAAGTTTATAGGACCCTGCTATAAGAAGCCATCCCTAGATATGTCCTACCCGTGACCACTGGCAAGGACAACAGCATTTGTAAACTACATACAGCATACTGGCTAAAAAGCTCAAAAACAGCTTGCAACTCATACATGTATAATCCAAATACCTTCTAACTCCTCTATAAATTTCAAAAATCCAGCTTTAGATCCACTGCAGAATTTGTCTGACAGCTGCTCCGAGACTCACTCTGAATGCTGACCAGTCCGTACATTGCTGAAGCCTGAGGACACGGGTCACAAGCTTCCTCCATACCTATCCCCCTTGACTTTTGTGTCTTTTCAGGCTGCAGACCCCAGTCTTTGCCTCCCTGGTAACCATGTATCTCACCTTAAACTCAGTGGACATTTGCTCCCAGACAAAAGAACCACCAATCAAACACTTGACCAGACAAGCGTGGTGGTACATACCTGCAACCTCAGCACTCAAGAGGCTGAGGCAGGAGGATCACTTCAAGTTTGAGACCAGCCTGGTCTATTAAAAACTTGACCAAGATTTGATGAAAATCCAAGGCACTTCGGACACTTTCCAGATCAGATTAACTCTCATTACCTTGCCAGAGCAATGTTATAGGATGGGCAGGCCTAAACTATGTCCCTTTCTAAAAAGCAACTTGGGGGAAAAACTCTGTAATAAGACAATCTTGGGGACCTTGACTAGCAATGACAACCTTAATGTTACTGCTTCCGATTCAGTCTTGGTTCACAAGCTCATATGTAATAGCCAAGATTTGCTGAGGAAACCAAATGAGGGAGGAAACTAACAGAAAAGGCCCCTCCGGCAGTATAGTTCAGTTTCTTAGCTGCCCAGATAACTGTTCCTGTTCCAGTTGCATCTCTTAGAAAAGGCTGGTCATAGTGATGCACGCTGTTTAAACCAATCCCCAGCTGACAAGCCATTCTGCCTCTGACTTCCTGCTGGCTTATCCTATGTGAGCCCTAGGCCACCAGGGGCCAGGGCCTGGCTTTCTGGGAGTGGTCCTTGCCAGTGTCCATCGACATAAATAGTCCACATCCTGGGTTCCACTGCAGTGCTTCTGCTGGCCACGCATGACCAGCTGGCATCTCAGCACCCAAGTCCTCATCTTCCTGACCCTCTCTGGTTCAGAGCAGCAGATTTATGTTTTCCTCTTTGGTACACATCTCGTGGATGCATCTGCCGCAGGTCACAGGTAACGCAGCGGGGACCCTCTCACTCGTCAGCTAAGGTTTCGCGTCAGAGGTGCAGGTGCCTGGCTAGCCTCACCACAGGAATGCTCAGGAGCGCCAGACAGCCCTTCGAACTGTGGTTTCCTTTACCAAATCTACTTGCTACTGTGAATTCTCAGGGAGCCCAGATAGCTGTCCCAAGCATTAGCTACATTCAGGGAAACGGAGAAGGATACATTCATTCCATTTAAAATGGAGCCAGAACCTGGAGGATAAACTCTCAAGCTGGAGTCCTCATGAGGACAGAGGGAGAATTTTGACTTGAACCTTCATATTCATCACTTAATTCAATCACTTTTGCCTCAATTTTTATTAAAAGTTCAAACATACAGACAAGTTTAAAGGATGATCAATGAATATTTCCCCATTACAACAATGGTTCAACAACTAGATTAATATTTTACATATTTTAAAACATCTAGCAGACATACTGACTTTTCAAACCTAAAAAATTCTAATAATTAATGACATTTATTTCCAGTAACATTTCTAGGAAAATTAAACATATTATCTAATAGACTCTATCTTGATATTTCACTACTTGAGAGCTGCTTTATTTTTTCTGCTAGAAGCTAATAAAGGATCGCTCTGGTATCTTTTGTTTCAAGTGTCCTGTCTACAAGGATCCACTTGTTTTCAATATATTGACTTTCTGCAAAGCCCAGATGAGCTGTCTCATACATCGCCTTAACAGTTTGAATTTGTCTACTTCCTTGTTGTATAATTCAACTTATTTCTCTGCTGCTTCATATTTCTTATAAACAGGAAGGCAATTCTAGATAGAGTGAATTAGATTTCCACTAAGCATCCTGGCCACACATTGCACGCTTACATATGCTTCTCTTTGCATCTCATCAGAAGCTGCAGGTCAGCTTTTCATAGAAACAGTGAAACGTCGTTAGATGGATCTCATTATAAAAACAAATCTTTCTTTCACAATTGTTATCTCTGATCTTTTAACATATAAATGTTAATTTTTTATACCTTGTTACCATTTTCCAGATTTAAAGGTTGTGAAATAATTTGTCTACACCATTGTGTCCATCTGACAGCATTCTTCAGAGTATTTTTTCCATAATCTTATTGAAATAGCATCGAGACAGTTTCAAACCAAATTGGTAGGAGTTTCAATAATTAACACATTGCAAGCACTCTTCCTAGTATCTTCAGAGTAGTTCATACAGAGCTTCCTTTTTTGCCTGCTTTCACCACTATGAGCTGTTTTCCTTCTTGTTGTATTACAAGCAATTACAGTGATTTTTTTTAATTGTCCTAAATTTGGCCAATGGAAACACACACACGTGTGCGTGTGTGTACAGGTGTGTTCATAGTGATGTGCTCCCATTCTTCTAACATTAATCCATGAATGTCAAAGGCTACGTTGCTTTTCCTTTTTCTGGGCATGTTACATTTCACCTGCTCCATTTCTTAGGAGCCAGGGTTCCTTCTGAGTGGAGAGTAACACTTAGAAACCATACTTTGGGTCCTACAAGGCTCACTGTCATGGTGTTGAGATCTGTTTAAGTCTCGTTTTCTGCTCGGCGTGGTGGCACAGACCTGGGATTCCAGCACTCCAGAGGCTGAGGTGGGAGGATCGTAAGTCTAAACCCAGCCTGGACAGCTTATGGATACAGTGAAACTCTGTATAAAAATAAAAAGGGCTGGAGATTTAGTTTAGCACAAAAGATTCAAACCCCAGTACTCCTGCCCACACAAAGAAAAAAGGCTTAGTTTTCTTGTATACATACTTAAGTACATAAAATGATCACTTGGTTCACAAATGCTTCTGTTCACAAACAATTCAGTTCTCAATCAAAAGCTTTTGACATTTTACTCCTCTACATAAACTCCCTATCAGGTGACAAACCTAACACAGGCATCTTCCCCACACAAACACAAAAGCAGCCATCTTCCCCAAAATTGGAAAATAAAGTTCATGAACAGAGGTACCACCACATTTGGACGAGCTACTACAATTAAGAAATATTTAATGTTCAATGTTTGAGTTCAATTCTAAAACTTTTCTCAGACAGCAAGGTTAAGCTAATTTATTAGTTTGTGTTCTAAATGTTACCATGAAAGTCAAATATAGAATTGAAGGACATAAGCATGTGTGGGAAGATGAAGTGATAAACAGGTTTAATAATAAAATATCCACAAATAACTTTACATATAAGAATTCCTGGGCTGGCAAGTTAGCTCAGTGGACTAAGTGCCAGCTTAAGCAAGTGAAGGGACCACAGTTGGATCCCCAGCACTACATGCAGTGCTGACCCCAGGTGCACTGAGTTGGCCACTGAGACCGGGCATGTTGGTGCATGACTGTAATCCCAGCGCTGGTGAGGCTGACTACAGGAGGATCACTATGAGTCCAAGCTGCATAGCAGGACCCTGTACTAAACACATTTAAAAAACATTTCCTAAAAGATGTGCAATTTAAAAGGCAGCTTTATGAATGGGAGATGCTTCAAAGCAACTACACCATCTGAGCCTTAGCCAGGTGTAAGGATTTAAGTAGTTGTTAAGGGCACAAGTAGTCAGAGACTTGTAAGAAAAGGAATATGATTGTAAGTCAATTAAGATTAAAGTGGGGGGAAACCCTCTAAGATGAAAAGGTAACTGGTTAAGCTACTGCAATGGAATCTAACCAGTTACAAGACAAATAGTCCTCTTTGAGACTTGACAATGGAAATCAACCTGTAGTTATAACAGCACACCAGAGCTAAAGACTTGATTCTGCCACCCAACCAACTTTACTTCACTAACAAAATGAAAGGCTATAATTAAACTAAGTCAGCTCTACCAGGTGCACACCTATTCTACTCTATCAAATATTTATCTTCTGCAACAGATGACAAAGTATTTGCATGACAGTCGTTCTACTGGCTTCATTTATCATCTCTAATATTTTAAGACTCTACTTAGCTACATAGAACTACATCAGACTAAGAAAATAGAGGAAAGCAAAAGGAAAAGGCTCCCGTTGAGCCAAATCTTAAAACTAAACTACAAATTACTATATTTTTAAATCTAGGACTTATGAGAATTTTTATGCACAGCTCTGTGCACATGTATGTACATATATACAAAGAGACACATATATGCATGCATTGTACAGTCATGTCCTACATAACCATGTTTTTGGTCAGTAATAGAACTGAAAAATTCCCATTATTTAGTGACATCACAGCTATCATGACAAACTGTCACAATGTCTCCATACAGCACTAACCCCAACCACTCATTTGTTGTAATGTTGGTACAAACAGACCTACTAGGTTGCCGGTCAGTAAAAGCACAGCACATGATACTTGAGCATGATGATAAACACATTACTGGTGTCTGTACTTACTATACTACATTTTTATCATCATTGTAGAACATATGTCTTCTACATAGCAAAGAAAGCCTATAAAACTCTATGCTGCATGTTACTTGGAGCAGGCCCACATTCTGTCATACCTGCTGGTGGCATCAAGAAGGCACGTGCAGCGACAACCTAGATCATCCAAGTGCACAATGCTCAAAGTGCCCAATGGCACCTTAACACACATCCCCATCGAGCAACATGACTGTACATGTACATACATGTGTGTGTAGACAGCGCTCAGGGGGCAATTTATCACACAGCTCTACTATTTCTATGTAGAGTTAAACTTAAAGAACTCTTGTATCCTCATCATCTTTGTGAAAAAGGAACACTTCCTAAGTCAGCCTGCCAATTTAGGAAATGAGGCCCCACATTTATTCACATTAATTCAATGACTACTTAGTTGGTTTGTTTTTGTTTTTTGTATTTTAGGGAAGAGACTACAGGGTGTTCAGGGTCTACTCGATCAGATTTGTAGTGATCGGCCTGCTTACAGCCTCCCAAGAGCTGGGATTACAGGCGCATGCCACTACGCCCAGTCTAGAAAATTCACATATTGAAGCTTGCTCTTAAGAGAATAGAGTCTGAAGTAAAACACATCCAACTATTTATGCTTTTCTACAAAGTAAAGACTTTAACATTTTTCTATGAATTTGAACTGTCTTTAGAATAGTGCTTATAGAATTTGACAAGTCAGTGTTCTTCATATTTTCACGGATAAACTGATCTTAATATTAACAAGCTTTTTTTCCTGTAGAAGTAAAAAGGACTGAATTAGGAATTTGTGCTCTATTTATTATTATACTGATCACTGCCTAGTGAGAAGTCTTGGACTATTAAATAAATTAAAGCTCATAGGTTTATCTCCTTTCAGAAATTTCTGATACAGGAAATTTTTATTGAAAGTGAAGAGAGGAGCCATAGATGAAAGGCTTCCCATATTCCTTCCATTTATAGAGTCTCTCTTTATTGTGGACTTTTTTGTGCCTACAAAGGTTTGATCTGTAACTGTAGGCTTTCCCACATTCCATACACTTATAGAGTTTCTCTCCAGTATGGATTCTCTCATGTTCAGTTAGGAATGAACACTGGCTGAATGCCTTTCCACACTGGTTACACTGATACGGTTTCTCTCCAGTGTGGATTCTCTGATGCCTACAAAGGTTGGATTTGCAGCCAAAGGCTTTACCACATTCTTGACATGTGTAAAGCTTTTCCCCAGTATGGATTTTCCGATGCTCATTAAAGGATGAGAACTGGTTAAAGGTTTTCCCACATGCATGACATTGGTGAGGTTTCTGTCCGGTATGAATTCGCTGGTGTTCAATAAATGTGGAGACGCGCGTGAAGGTTCTCCCACACTCCAAACACTGACACAGCTGTTCTCCAGTATGGAGTCTCTGGTGTTCCATGAGGGATGGAAACTGGCTGTAACCTTTTCCACACTCACTACATTTATACGGTTTCTCGCCTGTGTGGATTCTTTGATGCCTATGAAGCTTTGCTCTACAGTTGAAGGCCTTCTCACATTCAGTACATTTATAGAGCTTCTCTCCAGTGTGAATCCTCTGGTGCACAGTGAGTGTAGAACACTGGCTAAAGGCTTTCCCACACTCCCTGCAGCAGTAGGGCTTCTCTCCCGTATGTACTCTCAGATGCTTAATGAGGGTGGAACTGCTGCTGAATGCTTTTGCACACTCATTACACTTGTATGGTTTCTCCCCAGTGTGGATTCTCTGATGTGTGAGAAGGGATGACCGGTGGCTAAAGGCCTTCCCACACTCGTTACACTTGTATGGTTTCTCCCCAGTGTGGATTCTCTGATGTGTGAGAAGGGATGACCGGTGGCTAAAGGCCTTCCCACACTCGTTACACTTGTATGGTTTCTCACCAGTATGGATTCTCTGGTGTTCAAGAAGGTGAAGACTCTGGCTGAAGCTTTCCCCACACTCATGACAGACAAGAGGTTTTCCTCCTGGGTAAATCTGGAAATATCTCATTAAATCAAAATTCTGTGTAAAATCTTTCCTGAAAGTGTAATACATACTGGGTATCATCTCTACAGGAACACTCTGTTGTGAAACATGAACTGTGTTTATAAATGAGCTCTTCCCCAGTTCCAGACTTGTGGGTTTCCCATCCTCACGGACAGTTTTCTTGGGTGAAGGTGCCACTTGCCTAAGGGGTTTCTTTTGTTGCTCCTGTAGTATCTTGCCCTCAGGAGCCACAGTTTCTCCAAAGTCAATGTCCCAAGAACCATACTTAGAGGATTTTTTCTTTATTATTCCATGAGATGTTTCTTCAATAAAAATTTCCTGTCTAATAGGCACTGCTTCTATGTCAGGCCAAGTGTTGAAATCTGAAATGAACAAGAAGAATTAGTGTCTCCTGGCAGAGACAAATAAATGCATTAGTGGGATAATGAAATCAGCAACAATGCATACAAGAGAGGTTTGGCGGCATCTGATCTCAAAATTGGACTTGAACCTGGAGAAAAACAATATGGAGCAGTGGAGAGAGGAAACAGGTGAAAGAGTGTTGTGGCAGGATACATTGGGCAGTGAAGGGGATGCACCCAGGGAGAAGTAAGGCTAGACTCGGAAAGAACAAGCCATGCAGAAGGTATGAGGATACAGGACAGTGTCACATGATAAGCTCAAGCTGAATACTATGGGGTTAATTTGTGATCATTTCCTACGCTATACACTTGGCCATATAGTAGGCAACTTGTCTTTCCTCTCTCCTTCCTATTTCTACTCTGATGATTTTTTTCTGATCTTCCCTGTGAAATCCCACATGTAATAATTTTTAAATATTTGAACTTTTTTTAATATTTTGTGATTTCATATGTAATTGTAACTGCATATCAGTCTGTTAAAATGAGGACACTGAAGTTTTAAAGTTACAACAGTTGCCTGGGATATGGCTCAGTGGTGCAGCACTTGCCTGGCAAGCACAAAGTCCTGAGTTTGACTCCCTGTACAAATAAATAAATAGGAAATTAATTAATTAATTAACAATAGTCCTGAGGCGTGACCAAGGAGATATTTGATCTAAGTTCAAGACTCTGATTATAAAGAAGAAAAAAAATCTGCCACCTGAAACAATATATCTCTTGGAGAAAGAATAATGTTTCCCCTATTCCATTAGGTCATGGGGCAAAACAGACATTTTCATTTCATTTCACTTCCTTTCGTTCAGTTCAGTTCATTTCATTATTTCATATTTCATTTACTTATTTATTTTTTGTGATACCATGGATCAAACTCAGGACCTTGCCCTTGCCAGGCAAGCACTTATTCCACTGAGCTATCTGCCCAGCCTCATTTCCTTTAATAAGCTGTAACCAGAAGATGACTCTTTGTGTAGAAATTGTTTTGAATGATGGTAACTGAAATCAGAGCCTTACACATGCTAGGTAAGTGCTCTACCACTGAATGACAACCCCAGCCCTTGTAGAAATCTTTTGAGAACAATAAAAATCTGTAGGATATATGAATTCAATTTATCTTGAAGTTCTAGAATATGTCCAAACTCCAAGTTCAGCTGTGATCCTAGATAGAAAGATTTATCTATCAATTTTAAGGCATTTTGGGTTAAACCTTTCTTTACTTAATCTACAATTGAAAATGAAATATTAGATTATTGCAATTAGGCATTTGTAAGTGCTTCAGTAACAAAAAAAAAAAAAAAAAAAAAAAACCACAACTGACCCTGAGCATCTCACCATGCCACACTTCCTCCTACCCTGCTCAGCTAGAATCCCCGTGCCCAGCCCCAGGGTCTCATCCACACACCTGTACAGGTGTCCGCAGGCCCTTCTCTTTCCGCTGTGCAGGGATCTTCTCCTCGCTGCAACTGGCAAATCACTGAAGGTGTTGAAACTGGAATTCCTGTTCATGAGGGGAAAATGGAGACTGAACAAAGAACACAGAGAACTCATACATCACTCCCTGAACCTCCAAAGCAGAGAGGGCCAGGCAAGGAAGGCAGGCTGGGCAGCAGACACTTGGAGGAGCACTTGAGCTCCAAGAGGGAGATGAGAAGCAGGGTTAGCTAGAAGTAACGCCGGGCCCTGGTGGTGAACGCTTCTACGACGGGGCGGTCATACTACATCTTTCAACATCTGAATGACTTAGGCGATTTCAAAATCTAACCTGGATCTAATCATTGGTCTGCTTCATGAAGGAAAAGTTACTGGGGTTGGGGTATGAGGAAGGGCAGAAGGAGAGAAGGTTAATGTGAAGAACACTAAAATAAAAATGTGTACCTTCAACTGCAGCATCTGGCTTTTCCTAGGTACACAATGGGGTGGAAACCCAAAGGCTCTAAGCTCAGAGGGGGTGCTCTAAGGCGTGCTCTAGCGCAGTCTTCCTTAGAGGCAAAAGTCCTTACCCAGGGAGACCAGGTTGCTGTAGTTCTCCAGCATGACCTCCCGGTACAAGCGTCTCTGATCAGGGCCCAGCTGCAGCCACTCGTCCTGGCTGAAGAGCACAGCCACATCCCTGAAGGTCACGGGCTCCTGAAATGGCAAAGCCTTTCCTGCTTTTCAGTAGAAACTCAGTAAGAAGTGACACGGAGGTGCTTAGCAAGCAGTTCTGACAATGTCTCAGGAGGATTTCACATTAGCTATTTATGTAATTTTTTTTAAAAAATCAACTTTTTAATTAAACAAGTATTTACTAAATACTCATTGGGAGCAGAGATATATGCCATACGTTGTAGGGATAGGGAAAAAGTGGCCAGTCTGAGCCAACAGGGAATAAAAATTTCAGCATTTGATCTTTTAAAGTGCCTGAGCATGTCTCCCTGCTACCCCAAATCCAAATTAAATATGAGGAAAAAATCAGAATGTGCTTAGAGAAATGCTAGAAAATGAAACATCCTACCAGCTGTATAGAAATGATTTCTTTCTTCTTCTTCTTCTTCTTCTTCTTCTTTTTTAATTTTAGGGAAGGATCTACAGGGTGTTCAGGGTCTCACTACTAGATCAGACTCGTAGTGATCTGCCTGTTTATAGCCTCCCAAGAGCTGGGATTACAGGCGCACGCCATTATGCCCAGTCTCAATTGCCATCTCAGTGTGCCCCAGGGACAGGCCAGCACAGCAGGCCTGGGAATTGAACTCTCGGCCCCTGTGCCTGCTTGCAGGCACTTTAATCCATTAAGCTATTTGGCCGGCCCCTAGAAATAATTTCTGAGACATACAACAAATAATAAAAATAGTATTAGCTAATATTTAAATAATTTAGTAGGGACTTTAATAGAAATTATATATGTAATACTTCTTTTAAGTTTCTAAAAATCCTATGAGGAAGATACTACAATTAAACAGCTCTGCAGAAGAAACAGGTCTAGAAAAGGCAAACAGTCTTCCCAAGGTAATGCCCTTACGAAGTGTGGAGGCAGAGTTTGAATTCAGGCAGACATACCTCTAAATTGTATCCTCAGATGGACATCCTCTGACTATGAAAAGCAAAAGAACCACAAAACCTGTGGGATGATTCAGGTGCAAGAGGGAACTAATAAAGTCCTGAGAGAGAAGGCTAGCTAGTATTCAAGGTGGGAGAAGGCACAAGCTGGGCAGATGGCCAACTCCTGTGAGACACAAGAGCTTTAAAAGAATAAAAATGGCGCAATGCTTTCAGCAGGCATTCTGCCGAGAGTCTGACAAAGTAAAGGGCACAGGACTTTGACCTTGCCTTCTGGGACCCTACCACAAGACACAGCCACGCAGCCTTGCTCAAGGACACTTACTGCAACATGAGCTGTGATTTCAGGTCACGGTAGGCTGAACACCAAACCTGCCAATGTTTCCTAAATGACAAGAGGGACCCTGAAGATGGGTTACAAGGATCTGAAGGTGAGGGGCGCATCATGGAGTACCACCCAGGTGGACCCAGTGTGATCACGAGGAGCCCGCATGGAAGGGAAGGCGATGCGATGATAGAGCAAGGGCTGATGGAACAGGCTCTGAAGACGGTGGACAGGGCCACAGGCCAAGAAATTCAGCAGCACTGGACTGTGAAAAGGACAAGAAACCAATCCCCCCCTCAGGCTCCAGAAGGAACCAGCCACACGGAGGGCTGGAGCTCACGCCTGGGAAAGTAATTTCAGACTTCTAACTTCCACAACTACAAGGGAATAAATTTATGTTGTTTGAAGCTATTGAGTTTGTGGCAAGTTGTTACAGCACCAATAGGAAACATAATGGTGAAAGGTGAAGACAACCTACACTCTCTCAAGAAGTAAATGGAGAAGCAAAGTAGAGTATATTCATTCCATGAAATGCTGTGCGGCCTTTAAATAGAATGAACAAAGTGCGTATGCTTGACATTGAAGCCTGATCTCGATACATTACTGATTCATAAAAAAGCTACAATAAAATCTCTATATAAAATATCCAGAAGAATATAAATTTTTCCCAGATTATTCTTTGATATTTGTGGAGAAAGGCAGAAAAACAATCTCCCTTATTTCTCTCTCTCTCTCTCTCTGTCTCTGTGTCTCTGTCTCTCTCCTCTCTTTCTCTCTGTGGTACTAGAGACTAATCTAATAGTACCCTACCACTGATCTATATCACACCCCTTTATAACTTTCTGCCTTGAGACAGGGCCTATGTTACCCCAGGCTGGCCTCAAACTTTCAATCCTCCTGCCTCAGGCTCCCAAGTGGCTGAGATTTCAGGCATAGGCCACTGCAACCTTTCATTTATTTCTTTACATCTTTCTATTAGGTTTACTTTGTTTCCTTTGTGTGTGTGTGGTCCTTTCTTTTGAAACCTTTCATCATTTAGTTATTTTGTTGTGCTAGGCATCAAACCCTAGGCCTCATACATGCTAACCATGTACTCAACCACTGAGCTTCACCCTTAGCCCTTGAATTCTTTTAGACTGCACTTTAATTTATATATTAAATTTTCAGTTAAACCTCTTTGCATTTCTAGGGGTTGCTCTGAGACTTACGATGCAATTCTTGGTTGTTCCAAGCCTATTTAGGATAAACACAACTTTTCATATAGCATGCAAGAACCAGGCACCTGCCCTATATAGGATACCATGACCTCTTTTTTTATGCTATGCCTGCTAAAAACTTCCTAGTTCAAAGGGCTGACAGGACCCACTAGATTTAAGGGAATACTCTCCCGTGTGGCTCTTCCTTGACGGCAAAGAGTTGCAGCACAGCCAGAGCACAGGGCATTTGAGGGCGGAGGGGGCAGAAATCGGCTGTCCACAGAAGGGAGGCAACAAGGAAGGGAGCTGATGCAGGGGAAAGATGGGAATCCCACGCAGAAGTACTACTAAGCATTTGGGAAGGGCGAGCTGGAACTCTAGAAGAGGTGCAAGGACAGAGATTGGAGCAGCATCTTGGACAGGTAATGGTTAGAGTAATGAGAATGGGTCTCAAGGGGAAAGGGAAGGGGCAGGAGGGCAGTCTGAAGCAGCAGGGGAAGAGAAATCAGAGGCTATCATGAGGAGATAAGGCAATGCCTAGACTGAAAACACGATCCCGGCCAGCTCATCATTCAAGCAGTGCCCGGCCCAGCCCTGTTCACCCCAGTGCCAACCTCCACACCCAACGCAGACTGAGCCCACACTGGGACACCCTAGCCTCTAAGCACCAGTATCAGTCTTGCCCTTCAGCTTCAATTCAAAGGACCTCACTTTAGGGTGTTTCCCTTGCCTCCCCTTGCATATGTACCACGCTTCCTAAATCAGCATTGCTTAAAGAAAGAAATAGCATTTTTCCTTTTTGTATCCCAGTGTTCTGCTGGCATCCTGTATATACTGGGTGTGTAATAAATTTTTGTGGGAGTCTAGTCCTATCTTGTCTTTGCCCCAAGTAAGACTAACTCCTCTGTGAAGGAAAATAAACATCTACTCGCCTGTACTCCTCACCAAGAGGAAGTACATATGCAGTAGTGACTCAAATTCTGATCATGACATGAGTGGGGTGAATTAAGAATGACTCAGAGCCTGGCACATCTGCATGTTATCTATAATCCTAGCTACTCTGGAGGCTGAGGCAGGAGGACTACACATTCAAAGTTAGCCTAGGAAGCTTAGGAAGAAGCTGTCTCAAAAAAGGTTTTTAAAAGAGCTGAGGATGGTGACTCAGTGGTAAAGCATGTGCCTAGCATGTGCAAATCCCTACGATCAATGCCTACTACCAAAGAAAAAAAGACTGACCTGGAGACAAACAGGCACATTCCTTAGCAGCCCCTTGCTAAGCCCAGCTGTCTCAGAAAAACTTCCAAGGCTCTAGATTCGCCATGGTTTTCACTCGGTAGAAAAATACCTGGAGAAAGTATGTAACTGTGTTCACATCCCTGAACCCAGCCAGCTATTCACAAAAAAAGATGAACCTTACTTACTGTCACCTGAGCAGGCAGCAAATCCATAGCCATCCCTTCCTTCTCAGTTTTCCTGTCAAAGGAGAACACAATGCTGAGGAGGTAGGTCTGTAAAAGTGTTATGATGAATCCTGGGGTCAAGGCTTGCTCTGGAGAGAGTTCCAATGACACTACACCCACCTGAGCCCAGGAAAGGTAGCCTGCACCTACAAGCAAGCCAAGCGGGAAGAAGAGCGGTCTGATCTCTGCTCCCTTTTCTCTACCAACCCGACCATCAAATTCTGTACACAGATACTTTAATATCCACCTAAGGGCCTATTAGCTGCCTCTAAGAAACTGTGACTCACCCGCAGACATTTAGGGTCTTTAGGAGGTTTAAGCTGTATGTGGGCCGGGGAGATGGCTCAGTGGAGTAAGCACTTCCCCAGCAAGCGCAAGGGCCTGAGTTCAATCCCAGGCGCCACGGTGGGGTGTGTGTGTGTGTGTGTGTGTGTGTGTGTGTGTGTGTGTGTGCTGTGCGCTCTGATGGACGCAGGGAACTTGGATTTCCTAGGGCAAGCGCTTTCAGACTGAGCCAGCTGATCCTATGCGTGCTTCCCTGCGTCACCCTCTCCTTCCCAGTGAAATCACAATAATGACACCTGCCCCATTTCCCCTTCTCTGCCAGGTGACAGACCCCAGTGCTTGCCCTCAGTGGCCCTGTAGGGAGCACTGGGTCCTTTTCAAGAACTTTGAGGTAACAACGTATAACCAGTCTCAGCTTTTCTGCCCTGTCCTAGGCCTGGCCATTACCTGCCCAGGGTAACATGAGTAAAACACTGTCCCTAGCCCCAGCCCAGGTGCTACTCTTGAACACTGACCTTGAAAGTGCCACACTGCAGCATCCGCAGCTATCCTCACATAGCCTTTCCTCCCCATGGGGCACAGAACCCCATTTGCTCAGACAGTGCTGACAGCGCCTAGAGCAGCCAGGCAAGGGCCACTCACTGCGATGGGCTCCTCTCACCCGCCTCCCAGGAGGGCACAACCAAGGGACCTGCTATGAATGCCCCAGCTGGGGCACTCAACCAACCTCAGAAGCTGTGTGGAAACCTTTAGGGGTCTTGGATGCTTTTTGTATGTAATATTTTAAATCTTAACAGTAACTCCAGAAAGTAAATACAATGTAATACAAAATAAATACAGACGTCCCTCTGTATCTGTGCGTTATGCATCCATGGATCCGACCGACTCCAGATCTAAAACAACTATCTGTAATAAACATGTACACAATTTTGTTTCTTCAATTATTTTTTACACGATACAGCTGAACAGTCACACCCAGCATTTACATTGTAATAGGTATTGGAAGCAGTCCAGAAATGACTGAAGTCTATCCAGGATGCATAGACGACGAGAATCTGAGGGTTTTGGCATCTGGGGTGTGAAGGTTCAGCCGTTTCCACAGGGGGTAGCTACTGCTCCCACATTTTACAGTGCGAGGGAGACAGAACTAAAGGTGGGCGACCTGCCTGAAAACACAAAGGTTTCTCCATCTGTAAATGGGATTAGCACTGGGCTAACCCGCCTAAAACTTGGTATTATGATGTGTTAAGGCATACAGCAACTCCCGACGCAAACATGTACTACTAAAATTTACATTTCAAATCCCTGTCCCCTCAAAAAGTGTCAATTTACTTAAGACTCACGCTTGGCACACGGACGTTCTCTGCAGCATGAACAACCGTGTTTAGGATTCCTGTCTCGCTCAGGAGCCCCAAGAAAGCACCGACGCGAGCGGCCCGAGCGGCCGGAGTCTCCGCAGCGGGTCCTCCTCCTCGGCGGCGGCGGCGGCGGGCGGAGCAGCGAGGTGCCCGCGCTCCGGCCTGCGCCCGCCCGCCACCCGGGCCCCGCGAGGCGCGCGCCGTCCACTCGCACGGAAGCGCCGGCGCCCGACGCAGACTCGAGAGGCGGCTGCAAGCTCCTCAAGCCCAGGTCGGCTGTGGCAGCGGGGCCAGGCTCATGCTCCCAGGAGCCCCCAGAAAGGCCGCGAGCTGCGCTGCGCCCCAGGTAGAACTACGGCTCCCAGCATGCCTCGGGGCTGGCCTGCGGCGCTTCCCAGGGGGCACCGCGCGAGGCGGCTTCCGGGAGGGGGACGGGCTCTCGCGCAGGAACCGGAACCGAGGTGAGGCACGCGCTGCGCTGGACCCTGGCGTCTCCCCTCGGTGGTCCAGCTGCCTCAGTCCCTTCGGGTGCATTGTGCAGGCGCAGCGATGTGATGTGACAAAAACTTACCGGATTAGATGCCTATTTCAGAGGAATAATTCGGGTGCGGAAACTCCCATCAGTAGTTATGACTGTCAGTGTGTACAGTGAAGATCCCATTTGCGTAGGTACACTTGAAGAATATTCTGATACACATCCAACACTTGGCTCGCAAGAGACAAAAACAACCAGAATTTTGGAAACTTTGCTCAGCGCACCCCTAGGCATCTTCCTGAATTATTTTCAGCATTTCCTAGCTACACACAGTGTAGGAGAATCCTTGATGTTTACACCCTGATGATCCCTGTTCTGCTGTGCTGAGAATAACTGAATAAACTGACGGGTCAACGTACAGGGTCAGGGGTCTGTAAACGGGGGTAAAAACAGAAGAGCGGCCTCATTAGATCTACCTAATCCTGACTGGGAAGAGTTAAAAAGAAGCTTGAGGAATCGCCCTGGGAAGCAGATCAACAATGGGGATAAGGAAAGAGAAAAACTAGATAAAGGCACCAAGGGACTTGCATGAAGAGAAAAAAAAAAAAAACAAAAAACAGATGACAGCTGGACACAGCCAAGTGAAGAAACTATAAGCCACACCCACCAGGGATAAAATACAGGGACAGCAAGGGGAGTTGAGGAAGACAGTATGTGCTCACACCTGTGCACTGACATCTACCTATATACACGCGTATTTATTCTAGAATCACCGTATTCACTCTAGTCACTACAGAGTACGATACCTACATGCCTCCTAAGAAGATACCCCCTTGCCAGCTAGCTGTCCACCCCAAGATAAGGCCTTAAAAGGTAAGTGAAGAAGTAAACACAAACTGACAAACTGTAAAGACCACTGGAAATAGTGATGGCAGACAGAGGTGTCTGGAAGCAAATCTACTTAGGTGTTGGGGGAGGTGGTGTCACCTCTTATAAAAGGGCCCATGGGTCTTCCATCTTTCGATCCCCCATCCCATTCCTTATCAGGGTAGCTATCTTCTCTCCTCCCCCTTCCTTTCAGCTTTACAAATAATGTCTTTCACTAAACTTTGTCCCCCCCCCTTTTTTTATTTGGACTGTTTTTTATCCCAGTGGGCTGCTTGGACAGCACAACAGCAGTGCCCATCCTCCAGGTGCAACATCTTTGGCTCTGTGACCAACAGCCAGACACAAGAAAAAGCAGAGGCTATTA